ATTTCTTCTCCTGACCGAATTAATAACACTCCGTCGTCCTCGTCTTCGATCTTTTATGGCCTCCTTGGCAAACACACAACTCGCAGAGAAAAGCTGTGGCGTTCAAGCTCTTCTCAACGTTTGTGAAATGACCTATTAGCCCCTCTCTCCACCGCTATTTCTCTCTGCAAAACACAGGTTCCGACCCCTCTTTCTTCTTCTCAAATTGCGCTTTCATGGCGTCAAAAAAGCCTCTGTTTTTAGTTATTTTCATAGTTTTTGAGTCCCTCTGTCTACTCGCCAATGGCGTTTCCCACCAAAACGACCAAAACCCAGAACAGGAAGCCCTTCTTTACTTCAAAACCGCCCTCGGAAACCCCGCAGTGCTCTCCTCGTGGCGGTCCTCCGCCTCGCACTGCGACTGGGTTGGCGTTTCCTGCCATTTCGGCCGAGTCACCGAGCTCGCCCTCCCGTCCCTCTCCCTCAAAGGCCCGCTCCCTCCCTCCCTCTTCTCCCTCTCCGACCTCGCCGTGCTGGACCTCTCCTCCAACCTACTTCACGGCAAAATTCCACCTCAAATTCTCAACCTCAAACACCTAAACCACCTCTGCCTCACTGGTAACCAGCTCTCCGGCGAAATACCGACCCAAATCGTAGAGTTGACTGAGCTAGAGACCCTGAAGCTCGGAACCAACCTTTTCACCGGGAAAATCCCGCCGGAGCTGGGATATTTATCTCTGCTTCAAACCCTGGAGCTCTCCAGTAATGACTTCTATGGAGATATTCCGACCCAGATTGGAAATTTGACCCGGCTGAAGTTCCTGGACCTGGGCAACAACGCCCTCTCAGGTTCTCTTCCCTCTGACCTGTTTCCAAAGCTTCAATCTTTGGCTTCCATGGACGTATCACGCAATTCACTCTCTGGGGCAATTCCACCGTCAATTGGTAGCCTGAAGAATCTCACGGACCTCTACATTGGCAGCAATCATATCTCCGGCCCGTTGCCCCGCGAAATCGGAGAGCTTTCGCGGCTCGAAATTTTGGACGCTGCTTCCTGTTCCATAACAGGGCCGTTGCCGGAAGAGATTTCTAAGCTGGAATCGTTGACCAAAATTGACCTCTCGTACAACCCATTGAGGTGTTCGTTCCCAAAAGGCGTAGGGAAGTTGCAGAACCTGAATCTTTTGGCTTTGGTTTTCACAGAGCTTAATGGCTCTGTTCCTGCAGAGCTAGGGAACTGTAAAAGTTTGACGACTTTGATGCTTTCGTTCAATTCGCTTTCCGGGCCGTTGCCTGAAGAGCTCTCTGAGCTTCCACTGATGACTTTTTCCGTTGAAAAGAACCAGCTTTCGGGCCTCTTGCCTTCCTGGCTCGGAAAATTGAAGCAAGTTGAATCGCTTCTGCTTTCGAGCAATCTGTTTTCCGGGAAAATTCCACCGGAGATTGGCAACTGCTCTATGCTGAGGTTACTTGGCTTGAGCAATAACTTGTTGACGGGTCCGATTCCGGAAGAGATTTGCAATGCGGGTTCGCTTTTGGAGATTGATCTCGATAGCAATGACCTCTCGGGAACAATTGACAGCACGTTTGTCAAGTGCAAGAACTTGACGCAGCTCAACTTGGTGAACAATCGGATTGCCGGCGCAATCCCTAATTACCTTTCGGAGCTTCCACTCATGGTGATCGACCTTGATTCGAACAACTTCACGGGCACAATACCGAAAAGTCTTTGGAATTCGGAGAATTTGATGGAGTTCACAGCTTCGAACAATCAGCTGAGCGGTTCAATTTCGAATGAGATTGGTCGGGCAGCTGTCTTGGAAAGGCTCGTCCTTAGTAACAATCGGCTGACAGGAAAACTTCCTAAAGAGATCGGAAATGTCAGCAGCCTTTCTGTTCTAATATTGAATTCGAATCTTCTGGAAGGGAACATTCCGGCGGAGCTTAGCAAGTGCACCGGCCTTACTACATTGGATCTGGGAAGCAATCAGCTTAGCGGCTCTATCCCAACGGAGCTATCAGAGCTAAGCCAATTGCAATGTCTGGTACTTTCTCACAACAATCTATCTGGTTCAATTCCTTTGAAAAAATCATTGTATTTTCGACAAGCAAATATCCCGGTTTTGAGCTTTGTGCAACATGTTGGAGTGTTTGATCTGTCCTACAATAGGTTGTCGGGTGCCATACCTGAAGATTTGGGTGACTCTGTTATTCTGGTGGATGTTTTGATCAGCAACAACCTGCTCTCTGGTGAAATTCCAAGGTCCCTCGCTTGTTTAACTAACCTTACAACTTTGGATTTGTCTGGGAACATGCTCAGTGGTTCCATTCCTCCTGAGTTTGGTGATTCGCCGAAGCTTCAAGGCTTGAATCTGGGAAATAACCAGCTTACGAGTACCATCCCTGGAAGCTTTGGTCGTTTAGGAAGCTTGGTGAAGCTTAATTTGACTGGTAATAAGTTATCTGGTTCTGTACCCGTGAGCTTTGGGGAATTGAAAGAGCTAACTCACTTGGATTTAAGCTCGAACAAGCTAGATGGCGAGCTTCCTTCATCTTTGTCAAGCATGCAGAATCTCGTGGGGCTGTATGTTCAGGAGAACCGGCTTAAAGGTGGTGTTGATAAGCTGTTCTCGAATACCATAGCTTGGAGGATCGAAAAGATGAACTTGAGCAATAATTTCTTTGATGGGGTGCTGCCCCATTCTCTTGGTAATCTATCATACTTGACGGATTTGGATCTTCATTCAAATTCGTTCCAAGGAGAGATTCCTCCAGACCTTGGGAATTTGATGCAACTTGAGTATTTTGATGTTTCAAGTAACAAGCTCTCTGGACAGGTTCCAGAGAAAATTTGCAGCCTCATCAATCTGTTTTACGTGAACTTGGCAGAAAATAGGTTGGAAGGGCCAATTCCTAATAGTGGTATTTGCCGGAACCTGTCAGAAAAATCGCTTGCCGGTAACAAGAAACTGTGTGGGAGAAGTAAAGATTTGGATTGCCATGCCAAGAGTTTTGATGAATCAGCATTGTTTAATGCCCGGGGAGTTGCTGCTATTGTAGTTGGAAGTGCTCTAATCTTTATTGTTGCAGCTTATGCTGTAGTAAGATGGATCACCCGAAGCAGCCGGCATGATCCTGAAGAAGATGAAGAAAGCAGGTTGACTAGTTTCATGGAACATTATTTTCTCAGGAGCAGCAGATCACAGGAGCTTCTGAGCATCAACGTTGCCATGTCTCAGCAGCCGCTTCTCAAGCTAACTTTAGTTGACATTCTTGAAGCCACCAACAACTTCTGCAAGACAAACATAATAGGAGATGGAGGCTTTGGAACTGTGTACAAGGCCACATTGTCTGATGGGAAAACTGTTGCGGTTAAGAAGCTAAATGAGTATAAAGCTCAGGGACATCGAGAATTCATTGCCGAAATGGAAACCCTGGGGAAGGTAAACCACCAAAATCTCGTTCCATTACTGGGGTACTGTTCTCTTGGCGAGGAGAAGCTCCTCGTTTACGAGTATATGGTAAATGGGAGCCTCGACATTTGGCAGAGAAATCGGACTGGAGATCCTGAAGTCCTAGACTGGGACAGACGTTTCAAAATTGCAATGGGTGCAGCCCGCGGCGTGGCTTTTCTTCACCATGGATTCGGCCCCCATATCATCCACAGGGATATCAAAGCCAGCAACATCTTGCTCAACGAAGACTTCGAGCCCAAAGTTGCAGACTTTGGACTTGCAAGATTGATCAATGCCTGTGAGACTCACATTAGTACTGATATAGCTGGAACATTTGGCTACATTCCACCTGAGTATGGACAGAGCGCGCGGTCTACCACAAAGGGAGATGTCTATAGCTTTGGTGTGATACTGCTCGAGTTGGTGACAGGGAAAGAGCCAACCGGACCCGATTTCAAAGATTTGGAAGGCGGGAATTTAGTCGGGTGGGTTTTTCAGATGCTGAACAAGGGGAAGGCTGCTGATGTTCTTGATCCGACGGTGCTTGACGCGGATTCGAAGCGCACGATGGTTCAAGTGTTGAAGATTGCCTGTGTGTGCGTCTCTGATAACCCAGCTCAGAGGCCTACAATGCTTCAAGTGCTGAAGTTTCTCAAAGGGATTAATGATGAGTAAAATGTAGAGTTTTATGGCAAAGAATTTGATAACAATGATGATGTAAACTAATTAGGAAGGGACGTAAGGCTTATAAACTAATGGTATAATTAGTCTGCTAATCTAATCAAAAGCTGGAGTTATTTAATTAAGCACCATTTAGTTTTCATGTGTTTGATGCTTGAGTTTCTTCTATCCATTGATTTTTTCGTAGCAATATCGGAAAATTTAGAGAAATATAAGAAACTTTTAAATTTCGCCCAAAAACGACATATTTCTTTAATATTTCCGACATAATGGTCCACTGTCGACTATATGACAAATCCTTAAAGTTTTATTTTAAATTTTCACGTTTTTGAACAAATTTTCCTCTATTGAAATTTTGCCAATTTGAATACCAATATTTCTATCGACACTAATATTTTAAACACTGGACCGAAAATATGTTATAATCCATCTTCAATTAAGATGAACTACTCAATTTTGAGTTTCCTCGTTTTATGTTGAATTTGCCCAAACTCAAAATTTTGTAGGCTTCAATCAAACACACCACAATTTAGTCTTTACTTGTAAGTTTATATTGAGTTCGATATCTAATTATAGTTAAATTACGATGTTACATCAAGATTGACATAAATTCAACAATCTTTAATCAGTTAGATATTTAAACACGAAACTCAATGAAAAGTTGAAAAATAAGGTGATGCAAAAATAAAATAATTTATATTACCGATAAACACAAGAATTTTGAGCCGTTAAATCTTTCATATTGATTCGTTGCTTTGGTATGGTCTTTCGCAACTTAATTTCTTGTAGGCTTATTATTTCACCTTTTTCTTTTTCTTTTTCTTTGTCTTTGTGGGAACATTTGATCAGATTCCATGCGGAATATCATGCAAAATCAAAAAGGCAGAAGACAAAACAAAAGTGTTATTTCTAAAATTCATAAAGCAAAAAGAGTAGACAGTCTAAGAAACTTCTTGAAGGGAATGGCCCCCCCCTAGAGGTTGACGACGCACGTGAACCCATTTTTAACACGTGCCTCAATCCTGGTTCTTCCAAGTACAACTCCATCTAATATCTACCGTTGCTTCTAACTACTGATCAGTTGCACACCCTCTGATTAGCCATGTGGCATTGCTTCAGCCACGGCGTTTCCTTATGACCAATATCCGACGGCTCTGATTTAACCTCGCTACCACTCGGTTGCTGAGGCCGCAAGTCGGTCTCATCGTTCTCTACGCCGTCGCCGCCGGCCTCTCTCGCGCGCTTGGCCCCAATCACCACCCCGAAAAGCTTCGGACTCGCCTCTTCTTCCTCTTCGTTCTTCCTCTTTCCGGAGAAACGCTTCCGGGGCATCAACTCCAGCGGTTTTAGCTCCGGGAAACCGTTCTCCGATTGGGCGCAAGCGTAATTCGATACCATGGTGAAGATGTTGTTGCAGAGGGACTTGACCTCCGCCAGCTCCTTGGTGAGCTGCACGTTCTCTTTCCTCAGCCTCTCGTTCTCGTCCATAATCTCCGACGATGCTCTGATCGGCGACGAACTCGAAGACATCACCTGCTCGTCGCCGGAGTTCGACGGGGAGATCATCGGTTTTGCCGTCGAAACCGCCCAAACCGACGCCACCGGCGGCGCCGGAGGGTTGATTTTCCGGCGTTGTATTTCGCAGAGAAGCCGCTTCCCGCCTCTCCGAAAGCTATCGTTCAAGAATTCCCATCGGTCCGGCACAACCTTCCGAAATCCCTGAAATTCGAACACAAAACATTCAGAAATTAATAAATTCCAACCGGAAAATCGCCGGAAATTGAAGAATCGAATTCAAGATGCTTACGTAGGTGTTGAGCTGCCGTACGAAGCTGGAGAAGTTGTTGTGCTTGAAGTACTTGGGGAGCAAATCTCTGGCGAAGACGGTGGGGTTCCAGACGACAAAGCTGGATCCGTCGTCGTTCCATGAGATGACGTCGTCGATTGAGGGGTCGTCGACGAGCTGATACGTCTTGGTCAAAAACGGAGTTGGAAGAGCTCGCTGCGACGACTCGCCGGACGTGGACTCGCCGGTCGGCTCCACCGGCGTCGGAGCCATATCGAAAGCCGCGCCTCTAACGGAAAAGGAAAATTGAAATGGAAATTTGGAAGACGATGAGAGAGAGAGAGAGAGAGAGAGTGGAAACCAGAGGGAGAGAGAGTTGGGTTGGAGGGATGAAGGTGGGAATCGGTTATGGTGGTTCTAGAAGGTTCTTTGGGGGAATTTATAGGGTGGGAGGTTAGGAAGATGATGAGAGGGAGAGGGAAGAATCGGAGGGAACCCACACGAAACTCTTACCATTTTCGAGAAACTTCCGGGTCAGATTTTCTTCGGTTGCGTGCACGTGGCGGCTTATGAGAGGTTGGTAGGGATGGAATAAGTTTGTGTGAGAATTGCCTTATGGTAGTCAATTTCGATACAGGATACAGTTCCTCTACAGATCGATCTGGATTATTGAAATTTAATTCAACTATTACAAATAAAGAATTTTTTTAATAGTTATAATAATTATAACTATTGGATCAAATTTCAATGATCCAGATCTATTGATCCCTAAATTCAGATCCTAAGAGGATATGTGTCATTCAATAAATTAATGGTATGCTTATATGGTTTCGAAATTATTGCTTTTATGATTTTTAAATTAGATTTGAATTTTGATAAAATATCATACTTGACTATTTAAAGAAAACCTATTCGATGTTGACTTAGGTCATCTTTAATGAAGATGTAAAAAATGTTACATAGATATATAACAGTAACAAATGACGTATTATTTACTCCAATTGAGATGATAAAGCTGACATGAAAAATGAGATGTTAGATATTAAATGCTAGCATATTTAAGTGTCTTTTATGTCAATTTTGCTATTTTCAAAGGCATTTCACTTGCCTTATCTTAAATGCTAACAAATTTAAGTATTTTTTTAAATTATTTTTAAACAATCAATGCCTTTTTTTTTTCTTGTTTTTTTTAAAAAAAAAAACATAAATGAAGCAATAAATTTTGGCATATCAGATGGAAGAAAAATATCGACAATATATCTAATTGTCAAGTCAGCCATCAAATGGAAATTTGATGTTTTGAATTTAAAGCCTTCTTTGGAGATGCTCTTATAGAACTGTATTTATGATCAGAATTGTTCATATTTGTAAAAAAAATTGTTAAAATTAGGATCTTTTCGTCATTGAATTGTATAAAAACAATCAAACAGGATTAATAAAAGTAAAACCGTCTAATATTTGTAATAATAGATTGACTAAATGACCTACGTTTAATTTATTTTTTGTCTAGATGATCTTTACAAAGTAGCTCCTAAAATGAACGGTTTTGACTTTTGATCATAGCACAAAGCTCTGTGATTCGAACATTGAGAAGTTTGAGTAGGAGTTTTTACTTATCCTTAAGCAGTCAAACATTGTTCATATCTCTTGGTGAGCTATACGTAAAAATCGAAACACGGGCTAAAACTCTTTTTGTAAATCTTCAAAGAAGCTTTCGGTATGCCATATTTTAAGACGGGATAACCTCCCTTTCGCTAAACTTTTCAAAACCAAACGAAATCAAAAGTACTATAAAATGTTAACCACAATCTGTACTTAAAAAAATCAGGTTTTAGATCCATTTGAATAAATAATATAAATAGACATATTGTCATGTACTATTATAAATTTATGTCTCCAAAATTTAAAATAATAACGTTGATAACTTCAGGTAATGGTTTAAATGTCTAACACAAAAAAACATCTCTCAATCATATCTTTTCAACTTTCTCGACTTAGAACCTTTTTTTTTTTTGTTTTTGAGTTTTAACAAAATACTTCGGTAATGTTCACTTATAACAAAAAAATCATATTTTAACTTTTTTTTTTCTGATGTTATTCACTGTACATTTATTTATCATTTTTCATTAAAACTAAAGTTTTTTTTTAACTTTTCGTTAACTTTTTTTTTTTTTTTTTTTGGTCGAAGATTTAGAGCCGCTTTAACCATTATATTTAGGTGATGTGCATTTGTCACCATTGGATTGGAAATGATCTTAATCTTAACAAAGGTAAAGAGAGAGAGAGAGTGTGGTCACATGGTCTGGTAGAATCTGTCACGCGTGGGGCGAAAAAGCGAGGAAAAAGCAGATAAAAGTGGACTAAAGATGCAAAGCAACCAAATTGCAATCTTCTTCCTCTTATGGCTGCCGCTCCACTTTTTAATTTAATTAATTTATGTAAATGCTTTTTCCTTGGTAATTGGTGTGGTCAATGTATCTATCTTAAGTCCAATCTTGTTACGATAATGATGTTGAAAATAAATTGTTGATGGGAGGAGAGATTTTATATGGATTTATAAATAATTGGATTACTTCTCATATTGCTAATTAATTTTACGATGAAATTCTAACTTTTTTATAGTATTAGAGGAAGTTCACCAACGTGCGAAGCTAAATGGCCATACGTGCTCTACGTCACCCCGTTGTGTTGTCCACATGTTAGGCTTGAAAATTCGCCACACCTGAGGAGGCGTGTTGAACCTTGCATAGGCTTATAAATAGTTACACTACTTCCCATATTACTATTTAGTTTTAAAATGGAACCTCAACTTCTTCAAATGATAAATGAATATTGTGAAGCAACCTACCAATGAAAATGCATTACGCATTTGTCACTTTACATATTAAGAAAGGGTAGTGTTATCCACATTCATTTTGTCTTCTCACACACACACACACTATCAAAAGGGTTATAGAAAGGGAACCCGTCCACTTATTTCATTCGACATTATGGGGCTGAGGCCCGCCAAATTCAACCGACTTTTGGATAACAAAAAGGCGAGCTGATATGCTTTGATCAAGGAAAATGCCGCTTTGAATCTAATGAATTGCAGAATATCAATAGCCAATAAAAGTGTGAGATGTAACAATGAGTGTGTGAATAACATTATTCTTAAAAAAATGGTTTTTACATCTCCTTTCTCTTCCTCCACATGCATTTTTGCTTTTAACCTACCTTTAAATTTAACAGAGCAAAGACAAATCAAATGTCGGCTTTGAACAAGATGTGCAAGGTTACCAAAAATAAGTGCAAAAATCATTTTTCGGGCTGTGTAAGTTATTATTTTTCAATAAATGTATGTGATACAAATTGTGGTTTTCGTACAATACTCATCATCATATTTAAACAATTGCGGCAATCAATTTATTTTGTATCCCCAGTTCACAGCATGAAATCATGTCTTCGACTCATATCATAACACGAGGACTAGAAACATCAAGAAAACAACTCTAGAATAATTTTGATCAGCAAGATAAACAAAATCTAGTCATTTGGGACAGCAGAAACAATGTAAAACATTTAATTTTGACTGCAAATGACAAAAATGGAGTGCAAAAATCGCGATCTTACACAAATATTTACCGTCTATGGGATATATGATTGGTGGATTTAGTATTAGCACATGGTATAATTATGTAGTCTCCCTAACATTCCTGCAACTAACGTGATGGATCTTTCACATCCTAACACTCCATCTTGGCCCATCATATCAGATCCACGCTTATGAAACTTATCACAATGCGAGATGCGAGTTAGGCTAGTTGATCATGACAGTACTTCCGTCATAATATAGAATGTTCCGGGAGGAAATCTACCCTACGAGAGTGCAGGTTTTTAGTTTGTAATATGGTTTTCCATAACATCACATTCCTGCAAACTTCCAAAAGATACATAGAATCTTAATACATTTACAGCTACAACATACTTCCAAGATAATAACAACCATCCTTGCTTAATAAGTACAAGCCGGACATGTTTCATAGGATTCGTCACAAACATTGCATCAAGAAACCAACTCATCAAAACACATATAACTTGCCTAGCATTCGCTTCGATTTTACCAAGTTTTGTTCAAATTGCAGTTGATCATTTGATGGAAAAAAACGTGTATAAGTACAGATACAAAGAGAAGCTAAACATATTCGCAAACAATTTCCGGGGACATGCTCAGCCAGTTAATCAAAGTTGTACGGGACTCAGTTATACGCTCAAAATTGAATCTAATTTGCCACGAGTTATGACGTTTACAAAAGAAAATACAATAGCAGAACCCTAACATGTAGTAAATGAGTGTGAATCAATGTAACAACAAAATAAACAGAGGAGGCCAAAGTATATACCAGATAATGCGTTCGATCCTCCCTTCCCCCTTCCCTCCAGGAGGCAGAATTGCACTGGTCAAGCAAATCAAAATTCTGTTACAAAGCACAATAACACTCTCACTCAAAATTCGTGAAAAGTCCAACTCAAGGATTAATTTGAAGGTTGAATCAGCAGATCAAAGTCGTCAAGTCATGTACAAAATGCAGCGCCGATAAAGAAAAATGGTCGCTGAACTGTAAATCGTCCAAACAAAGAGGATCCACCAAGCCATAAAGAGAGCCACTTCTTTCACAAACGCAGAGCAAGGAGCTAGACTACAAATGTATGGGTAATTTTCCGGAGAGACACCATCGATCTGAGACAATCCAAGAAAGAGGAACAACAAAACGGGTGGTCCAAGGAACTGTAGAACTACAAGGCATAAGTAGTGATTGTGCAAAAACACCTTAGCCCTACTGAAATCCAAGTCAGGAACCCTGCTAGCATGCAACCATTGATACCAAGACAGCAATGCCTCGTTCAAATACATTTGTATGTTCGGGCGTAAAGCAACAATCTGTACTAAACTCGTAGCCAGCAAGCACCAAACCCTAAATTTAGCAAAATCCGAAGGTGAAAATCCGATATTTCCAAACAACATATCCGCACTTCCACTCTTGCGATCGATGTTCTTGTTCACGAACATTCCAGCCAAGGGATTAATCCACAACAAAACGGTGAACACAATCATCATATGATTCACATACAGAACGGCTCTGCCAAACCAATCACATGACAGCATTACCAAATCAGACCTAATCTGATCAGTTCCAAGCCAAAAACACCTCGCACTCTTCACTGCCGGAATAAATAGAAAACCCGAAAAGCATCCCATCAAAACAGCAATAAACATCTTCCCGAACCCATCAATAGACTCGAAATTGAAATCGAAAAACTTAGGACTAAACGTGAAGCAAATCGCATTGCCTAAAACCAACCCCACAGCCACCAAAATCACACTCAATTGCTTCTCGGACCGCCTCGAAGCGGATTTCTCATACGCAACTTTACCAAGCAAAACCAACAGCTTAGAAACACCGGCAAATCCCAACAAAACCGGAACAAAAACCCCATTAACTAAAAACCCAGAATTTTTATCGTCCGATTCGTTATTCAAGTACAACAACTGAAGCAAAAGACATGAAATTGCAACGAAAGAGAAAGTGAAGGCATTGGAATACTCATTGAAATATAGGCGGGTTTGGAGGTGGGCCTCGTCGAGCTTGAGGCGGAAGATCTGAGCATTGTTTTCATCGAACTCGGGGTTGGATTTTGACTTTGACCGCTTCCTGAGCTCGGGGTTGGATTTGGAGGGCTGCCCAGATGCGGAATCGGGGCCGTCGGGGCGGCGGATGGCGGCCCGGACGCCGCTCTGGACGTTGTCGGGGTGGATGTAGGTGTGAAGGCCGCGGAGAAAGAAGACGGGGATTTTGAGAAAGGTGAGGAGGAGGGTGAGAGTGAGGGAGAGTGAGATTTGGAGTATCAGATTCTTGTAGGTGATCAAGAATTGGACCATTGTTTACTTGTTGGTTTGGGTTTTGAAAGACCAGAGAGTGCTGTGGAGTTGGGACAAATGCTTTGGGCGTTACAGAGAGAGAGAGAGAGAGACAATGTGGGAGTTTGAGATCTTAAGATTGATTGGCTTCTAAACTTCTTCTGAGGTTGTTGAAGTGAAATGGGATCCTCTACATGCTTGTTCTTGTTGGTCATCCGGATTCACTTTAGGATTCTCGCATCTTAGTCATTCATCGTGTATCAGCGGTTAGAAATTATTTTATTTTTTTATTTAAAATTAAACACAAATAGTATTTGATGAAAAATAACTATACGATATAAAATGAACGGTTAAAATGTAAGAATTCTTAATACCCCACAAAATGAATCCGCAGAGGATTTCTTTCCGTTCTTGTTGCTTTTTTTGTACTCTATGTTGTTGTCAAGGTCATACTTTGTTTTTGTGGTAACTGGGCTCCTTACCTTTGGGCCTGTAGAAGGGGGATAGCTTTCTTTTTCAATGACAATCCAATTAGAATAGCCCACACGGTTAGCCTAGAGGTGGTAAGCTGGTGGACTAAGTCGCTCATTCGATCAGTCACAAATATACTCTCCGGTATTCGAGTCGTGTTTAGAATGATTTTCATATTGATGGAAGGAGAAATTTTGCATATGCTTATAAGCAAGTCTCATTTTGCCAATTGGTCTTATTGTAGAACCGCATCTTTTTTAAGGTTGGATCAGCATATGGTGGATTGTTCGATTCTTGACGTTAGTGAATCACACTATGGTGGATAGGGAAGACTGAAATACCTTTGTGAATTTTCTTCGACTTCAAAAGAGTGAATTTCCATGACAAAATCACCAGCTGATCCCCTTTTGAAGAAAAAAATAATTAATATTCATGATTCACGAAATATCTGGATTGTGACTACACAAAAGGAGAATTTGAATTATGTGATGCCCCTTCAATAATTTTGTGTTGATCAATCCACACAAACACATCCAATGACAAAAATATCTGTCCAAGTCAAAGTCATCATACTCTATCCCAAAAGATAAGCTTTTTCCCGGAATTAAAGATCAAGGCTTGGTACTCTTTCTTCATCCATTTCTTATTGTCCTTTTTCTCTTCTTTCAATGAAAAATCAATTAAAACATCGCTATCATTTACCCGCCAAATAAAAGAAAACCCTAGAAATAATTATTAACAATAATGTTATTTTTATCATATTTTTATACTATAATTGTATATTATTTTAGGTGACATTTGATGTAGACAATCACATCATCTAAATTAATTAGCATTTAAATTCAAACTGTTAATCAATAATTAATAAAAAGATTGTTAATTAAATGATGATTGAGGTATACGAAGAGCCTCATTCTTACTTCCCCTATCCATTATGCTTCTTCTTCCTTCCCTTTACTTTTTCACGCCAGTTTTTAAAATTGATTTCTATTGATTTCCATGATTATGGTCAAGCCTTATAGAATTTACTCATATACCAAAATAACCATTGATATCTATCTCCAGACTCATGCCCCGTGGCCCCAATTCTCATTCCCCTTCAAGTATTTATGTGTCCAATCTTCATTGGTACTCCATGGTTGTTCATCTCGTAATTTTTTTGTTCTTTTCAAAATATTTTTTTTGTGATTTAAAGGAAGGATTTCATCTGATTATTTCATTTAGTAATGCCTATTAGCTTTCATGCGAATTAGGAGTCAAAATCAAATTTGTCTATCAGATTAAGGTTCATACCCAACTAAGTTACCAACACTAGAGGGAGATCTTCAAGTCTGCAATTTTCCTTATTTAAGTATTTTAATTAATAAGAAAATTGAAATTAAATGATATAGCTTGTCCAACTCATCTACCACTTAAGATAGTAAAGAAATGTTATATAGAATTGTGGTAAGAATATCATTACTCAATTATTAATGCTAAGATTAACGTTAGCAAGATCTAATCATATCCATGGATGGCCGGTTGATCTGATCAGTTGATTGGTGCAGCCACTGCCAGCTGATCTGGTACATTAACATTTTGTTGCTCTATCTCATCTTTATCACCGGCCGTTCTGATTTCAATCTGTGGTACCACCTGCGGTGGGGACCCGCAATTAATTAAGCAAATGGTATTTATCAGTTAAACTTTTGTGTTATAGGGTTAATTGCCAACCTGATCTTGTGATGTTTTGGAAGGCTGAGATGATACCGTCCTCGATCTTTTTTCACTTCGACCGGCCATTCTGCCACCTAGACCAAATATCAATAACACAATAAGTACATTTTATTACCACTAGCAAAAAAAAAGTACTAAATGAAAATTAATACAATAAAATAAATCACATAACTACTAAATAGTGCTCGATGTTTAAAATATCTACGAAATTATAGATATTTTCGTTGAAATATTCGAAAAATCAATTATCAATATGGGATGAAACGCAAACTTCATCCTGTATTAGCGAGATATGGAAAATCAATAATATCAACTATATTTACCGATTCACTGCATAAATTTTCCTGGGATCCATGGCAGATTTTGAACTTTTATTATTATTTTTATTTTTTAGAAAAATTCTCTAATTTTTACTAAATCTGAATGAGTTGATATACTCACCCAATGTCTATTTTCATAATTTTCTTTAAAGGCAACTGATATTGATATTTTTTTATTAAATTTTCATGTCGATATTCTACATATATCGATATTTTAAACACTGCTAACAGCCTAAAACCACACCTCACAATATCTCAAGGTATATTTGATCAGTATTTTACGTATACTAGGTTTTCTAGGTGCTGTTTAGACACAATTTTTTCTAATAAACGATATTATTTACAAATTTTTTTTAACAAATTCCTGGCGAGAATTGAACCTAAGACATTTCACTTATAAATAAAGAGGAATCTCACTAGATTGTAGTACTAAATGACATATTAACACATTTTAGACGTTAAGCACAAGGCATAGAGAAATTCGAATAATTCAAACTCAAGACATAGTATAATCAAACTCGGATTTGAGAGGATTTTAAAAGACTTTAAAATCTTAATATAGTCAATTAAAAGATTTTAAAGAATTTTAGAACCTATTCAAATCTAAGTGTAGTCAATTAAAAGATTTTAAATGATTTTAAAATCCATCCAAATCCAAGTGTATTAAAAAAATTAAGATTTTGAAGGATTTCAATAAGTTGTGGATTTTGTGGGATTTGAGAGTAAGAAGTATATATAACCAAGTTTAAAAAGAATCCAACCTCACCCCCTAAGATTTCAAATCCTTTTCCATCTGAGCAATCCTCAAATCTCAACCAACCTCAACCACACACAGGTAACCACCGTATACTTTGGTGGAATCTCTTTTTGTAAGCATTTCATAGTATTGCACACAGTTTGAGCTAGGTTTTTGGACGATGGTGATGATTGTTAGTGGTGTAGTGTTCAAAAGCTCACCAAAGTTACGTTGATCTATCAATTGAGAAAGAGATAAAGTTGTAGTTGTGTGAAAGGAAACCCAAAAAGAGAGGGATAAAGTGGCTATTGAGTATAGTAGGGTAAGGGGAAAGATTTTTTTTTTTTTTTTTAATAAAAAAATTATATGAAAATCCACCACAATCTACTAAAATCTACAAACTTAAATCCATTCAAATTCTTTAAAATTCATATAAATTTTGTAGGAATCTTAAATTCTCCTAAATCCTATTAAATCTATCACTTTTAAAATCCTTTAAAATCTTAGTTTGACTACACCCTTAAATTAACGTGTTGTTCTTCTTCAAATACACCACGAGGAAAATGCGTACAATAAAAACGGACCAGACCTAACTAATTAATAATATAACAACATGTAATTAATTACCTTGTAAGGAGTTACGGTTTTTGGTGATTCTGCTGCTGGTTTTGAGATCCAGGGTTGAGTCGGAGGTGTCCGGCAAGTAGCGGTCGAGACGGGGAAGATGAGGAAGATGACGGTGATCCTTGTTCTTCTTCTTCTCAAACATGGCACGCACGAAGGATTCCTCCATGCTGTTCAAAAACTTGACGTGCTTCTCGTTCGTCCACGACATGTTAACCGGGGACAACTCCATTCTCACTAGTTCCGATCTTAATTCGGCCGCCACCTACGGTGGTTTGGAGAGGAAGTAGCTAGGTTATAGCCCCCGGCTAATGGATGGTTGAAAATTATGAAGGGGATGGTTGGTATGTTGCAGGTTGGCTATATATATATTTTCAAATTGGAGGTTTTGGAAGGGAGTTTGGAAGAGCTGTGGGAGGATGGCACTAGCTGTCGTCGACCGACATGTGTTTGGCTCACCAGAATTTATCACTTTCCAAATATCCCAACTCACTGGACCTCCCAAAGATATTAATCGTAGCAAATTTTAGATTTTTTTGTGTGGAGATCCGAAGGATATATTTCTTTGCTAAGATATTTTATATATTTATTTTTAAAAAGAAATAGTTAATGGGCTTGTAACGACAATCTACTCTTTCAAAACTGAAAAGACACACAAGTACATTTCATTCTGTCTTAATCAATCTTTAGTAAGATATTTAGTATATTAATTAGTGGTCTGCCATTCCATTAAAGGAAAATTAACGAAAAGTTCAAAAAAAATTTAATTTTAATGAAAAATGACAAATAAATGTGTAGTGAATAATATCAGGAAAAAGTAAAATATATGATTTTTCGTTAAAAATGAACAGTACCGAGAGTGCTTCGTTATAACTCTATTCAATTAATGCATAGAAAGAATAATCGTCTAAAAGATATTTTTATGGAATACTCGAAAGATGATGAATGAAGGTAATATTTGTACGTAAGTTATGGAATAAAAATGTCTAGGTTTTGTGGGTGTTTATCATCAATGATCTATGAAGTTGATCAAACTTATCATTTTAATCTCTCATTTTCAAATTCAATCAATGCCGTCATTTACATTTTACTATTGCAAATCAATTTCGTCTTTCCATTTAGATTTCGTCAGCTATTCTATTAGTTTGTTGATGTGGCACACATGTCAGACCCACAAATCCAATTAAATGGTAACACGTGGATTACACAAAATAATTAATTCTTTAAATGATTTAAAATTCTAAAAACCAAAATAAAAAATGGACAGTATGGGCTAGGGGAGACCATCAATTTTATATAAAAGTTTATCGAACACTCAAACACTATTTTTTAAAATATTTTGTTAAAAGCTCTTTTACAAGAAAAAAAAAAATTTACGAAACACACAGTTGCTTTATTTTACAATTATTTATTTTCATAACATGATAAAAATTATTTTTTTCTAAAACCACAACAATACCAATTTAACCCTACCTCAAGTGCACAACAACATCTAGATTTTCAAAAACAAGAAAGTGCCTAAATAACTATCCAGCAAATATCCAACAAGGAAAACAAAGGGTCGACCGGGCGGGTAGCGCGAGTACGAAAGCTTTTGCGCAGTCGAGGAGGCATAGAAAGTGGAGCACGCAATTAACAATTTCACAAGAAATTTTTTATTATAACAGGAACACGAATGATGCATTACGTGTTTTTATATAAGTGGTGATAAATTTTATTTTTAAAATTATTAACTTTTTAACACACATATCCTACTATTTATATAATGATACGTGATATACTATCACATGTACCGGTTACACTGAAAAATCTCTTCAATCTCACGGTCTATGGTGGGCCCACATTCAACAGGTAATCGCGGTCATTCTAGATTGGCGTGGCGAGCTCGTATAGCTTCCTCAGGGCTCTGACCCAAAACCTCACTCAACTTATAGACCACCATCTCAAACAACACAAACAAAGCCCCCTCGTACACGCTCCCCATCGGAAGCAACGGCCGAGATTTCATCACATCCCCACCATCATCCGCCATGGTCTGTGCTGGCACGTAACCAACCACGCTAGCGTGCCTCGCACACGATCCACTCTCCGGCTGCGCCGTCAGCAGCAGGACTCGACCGCCGTTCGATCGGGCCACGGAGCAAATTGCATCCACAGTAGAAAATCCACCCGGACCGGCTGAGGCTATGAGTAGATCGGCAACTGCGATCGGGGGAGTGGTCATGTCGAATACCATGTGGGCCGAGAGCCCTAAGTGGGCAAGACGCATACACAGCGCCTTCAGCATTAGGCCCTCTCGGCCCACCCCGTAGAGAAAGACACGGCCTTTTCGGGCCGCTGTGGAAGAGAGCTCGGTGACCAAAAGGTCGAGGACCGGCGGGTGGGGGTGGGTTGGTTTGGTGAAGATGGAGGCTAAGTGGCTGCATATTTGTGAAGCAAGCTCTGAAGCCATTGCTCTGAGTCTCAATGAATCATAAGAGAGCAGCGATGAGTGTGAACTATAAATGTGAGTGAGATGTTGCCAATCAGTGACACGTCAGCATTAAACAACATGTCTCTCGTTCTCAGAAATTGTTTTGATAAGGAAATAAAGTTGAACTATTTACAAACGAAAAACACAATAGAAAGATACAAATTACAATCAGATGAGCATAGAAGGAACCAAAAACTGTAATCCAAATGTCAGTGAAATGATCAAAGAAAGTCCCAGCTTTGGCTTGATTTTCTAAGCTCCGTTGGCCGGAGGTCCGGAAGAGGTTTTGGTTGATGCGGTACCATCTTCATCGATATCTATTTCTTTGACACCGGCAGTAAACGAAGAGGAGCCACATTTCTTCTCCTTCTCCATGTTAACATCCTCGTCCTCTTCTTCATCGTCGAGCAAAGAACCTTTCCGCCTGAGTTCTTTTACTTTCTGGAATTCATCATAATGGGCTCTTCTGAGCTCCCTAAAATTCTTGCTTTTCTCAGAATCTGGCAAAGTCCGACAGCAAAAAGGCAGAACAGTCAGCCACATGTCAGTAAAGGAATTGTTGATGAATGGTATAAATGTAACTGAGGGGCAGAAGAATTTGAAAATATGCCGGACTTTTTGAACTGGGCACGGGGAAAATGAGAACAAGACGAGGATTAGGCAATATCGGAAACAAAAGTTCCGACCATTAACAGAATATAATGAGGGCAAGTTTAGAGGCAGTAATAACCCCTAAATATGTTCATTGAGATCTAATCTCATGTGTCTTACATGAAGTAATGTCATCTGATGCAACTTCAATCATATCCATGTATCAGTCCAGTTGTATAAATATTCTAATCAACAAGCAGTGGATGACTAAAATATAAAACTAATCAGCCGACTGGAATGAAATATAGTGAGAAGTGTAACGAATGGCGATCGAAAGGGTTAACTTAAGGAGAAAAAGGAAGAGGATATGAATGAAAACCTTCATCATCTTGTTCCATAGCTTCTGCCTCATCTTCAGAAGATGTCCAGCCAGTAGATTGTAGCTTGTTCTTTCTACTTGATGATGCCACATCACTCAAAGCAGTTCGTATTGCTTCTGCATGATCTGCATCACCAACACAATCGTCGAAGGTACCACTCCCTCGTATAGGAGACAGAGATCCTGAAAAGATTATAGAGCCATAAAAAATGATAAGTTTCCACATGTAAGATAAACACAATTTTTTTTTTTTGTCAGGAAACAAGCGTTGAAAACCTACAGCCAAAGATTACTATATGAAGTTTTTAAGAAAAATACAATAAAGATAAAGACTTCGGTGTTCATGCATATACAGTTGACATGCCTGCACAAAAAGAAAAGTAAGACAGAACCCAACATACCATCCTCATCATCGGTCATCATGGGGTGGTATGGCGTCTTCGGCTCAGTAATTTTCTGTCTCACAGGTTTATTTGCTTCAATTTCTCCTATATTATCCTCGTCCCATCTAACTCGGCCTCTGCCACTCAATAAGCAAAATCTAAAATCAGTATCAAGCATATGATAATAAACAGAAAGTATGCACCTTTCTACAAAACAAAACCATCTCCTAAAGCATGACTTAATGCAACATTTCTAAGAGTTTAACACAAACCAAACCCGAAACGTATAAAGAATTCAACAGGCGACAGATTGAATTACTTCATTTTGCTAAGCAGCTGATCTCCACACAAGCACCACAACAACAAGCAACTGCTCAATTGAATCGATTTCTCTGAAACAAAATTCGAAATCGTCGTTAATTTCTCAACATTAAGCCAAACAAACCCAAAACAATCAGATTCTAGGCCATCAAACCTGCATTAACGAAAACGAAATATACACAAACAATAACCTAAACCTAAAAATGAAAAAAAGGGGAAAATTTCAATTAAATTTCTTAGAAATTAAAACGCACAATAAGCACAATTATCCAGTACAGCCACGGATCAATAGCGCATTAAAACCTTAACCAACCTAATCATCAAAAACGAAGAAAATGAACCTTCGGAAACATGGAAACGGTCAATTAAACAGTAAGTAGGTTAAAGGATCGGAAATTTTCCTTTTCCTTCATTTTCCTGCGTTTTCCGGGAAAATTTGAGCCAAAAAAAATCAAATTAAAAGTAAGAAATACGAAAAAGAGCAGGAAATATAAATAAATTCTGGTACCTTCTTACTTCCTCGGGAGAAAAATGAACGTTCGTTCGAAGAGGTGAATCGAATTTTTCGTTCCTGGTTTTATGATTTTCCAGGTTTACTAAATTACCCTGACGAATATCATTTAATATCGCTTGAAGCCATCAAAGGGCTTTCTAGAGTGTGCAGATCTCGGACCGTATATTCAAATTACAAGGAAAATAATCCTCGTCGGATCATTTTCTTGTGAATTCTAAAATTCTGCGATCGTAACTGTTCATTGTACATCGTATGGTAAAAAATTATTTCAAATTTTAAAATTTAAAATTAAATATAAATAATATCTAACGAAAACTGATTGCACGACGTACGATGAACGATCTTAACCGTTAATCATACATTGTGGGGTTAAAAATCATTTTAAAATTAAATATAAACAATATCCAAAAAAATTGATTGCACGATGTACGATGAACGATTATGATCGGAAGATCTCTATAATCCCCAAGAAATAGATCCAGCGAGGATCATTTTCCAAATTACAACACTATAATCCAGCCACGTTAGCCAAGGATTTTCATGAAGAAATTTGATTAAATTATGCCTTGAATTTATGAGTGAGATAATTTTTGCAAGGAGTTAAACCAAACCATGAACAATTACGACTAACTACTTTAAGTATTAATTTTGTTATTCGTAAAAGTCAATTCGAGATAACGCACTTATAAGTAAAGAAAATACAACTAACTTTGTGGAGGGCACCACATCCGTTGAGCAAGAGCACATGAACTAAATTTAATCGTAAATTAACGTGGACACAAATTATGAGTGAAAAAAAACGGTATCACACTTAATTTAATTAAATAAGATTATTGATTTAGATTGACACACCCCGACCGAGATCAGGGCGTGCTGGCCGTCACCCGAAGGTGACTAACCATGTGCGCGTGCGGAAGCTAATAAGAAGGTAATATAAAAGTACGAATAATTAAAAACCTAATAGCATACAAAGTACTAGTGTATGTGAGACACAATTCAGAGCAAGTCTACAACAGTCCAAAAGGAAAAGATACGACATATGTACACCCGAAGGTGACCCTACAATGGTGAGTGTCTGTCAGAAATGCCGAGACGCCCTCTGGGATAAACCACCGAACTTGCTAGACCACTAGAACCTGGAGGGGCGCAAAAACAAAAGCGTGAGTGGGCAAAAACAAAGTTCTTTGAAAACTCTTTAGCAAAATACATTCTAACCCCTCGCCGTAAAACCTGTATACTACCCAGAAAATGAACATATATACGTATGTATAGATATGTCAATCATGCTCCATGATATGCCATTCTGAAACTCGTAATCAAATATAAATGCTCAAACGTAAATCACATCAATAACATATAATCTAGCAGCCGGGAGTCACCTAACGTGACCTGTACGGCTGTAGATAGAGCTCCACGCTCAACTCAACATCTGAATCTGCACACGAGTCGGAACCACCTATTGTGGTCTGTACGACAAGCTGGGTGTAATATATATGTATGCTCTAGTGCTACGATCACGTGAAGCTGGGCGATAAATCGCGGGTCACCTACAAGTCGGAACCACCTATTGTGGTCTGTACGACAGGCTTGCACCTATCTTGGATCCAAGGCGAGCATGCGGTGCTGGTGAACATACACGTGAAGGCTGGGCCCTGGCCTCGGGCGGGAGCACTAACACCGGGGGTGCAGATTATGAACTCTCTAAGCATCTCAAACTACTATTGCATAATAAACAGGAATGCATAATAACGTGAACACCGCTTACCTGGCACTCACCTGTGCGTCCACAGCAGCAAATACACATTTATATATATATGTATGCCACTACTAATACATGCGATGATGCGTAAACAACATTCATATGATGCATGGCATAAAACAAACCCTTTTTCCATTTAATTTCTGGGAATTAATATGTATATAGGTATATACGGAAAACAAAAGCCCACTCACTGATAATTAGAAGGGTCGTAGCCCCCCTGCCTCGAATGTGAACGTTCGTCCTCGGGAAACGAATCACCTATACGCAACAAAGTTACGAAAACATTAATTTAAAAGCACCTAAGCAACTTCTCGTAATAACTTCTCATACATTGCTCAAATTGGACAATTGAATATACCAACGTGATCTACACAACCTCAGGATCACACCCATATTTTTAAAATAATTTTTGGACCACGCACGCGCCCCCACGCGCCGTCCTAGGCACGGACCCACGCGCCCCCACGCGCAGCCACGTGCACTGCACACTGACGGCGTCAACTGACGCCGTCAGGAATATTCCGTTAACCTGACGGAATATTCCCTAACTGAAGCCGTCACTGCCGTTAGGAATATTCCGTTAAACTTAACGGAATATTCCCCTTCCTTCTCCGGCCAGTCGCCGTCGCCGGCGCCGTCGCCGGAAAACTGGGAAAATTTCAAACCTTGTTTTCTCCTTCGTTTTTCAACCATTTTTCACGATTCAAAAGCCAAAATGAAGCTTAGGACTAGTAGAATCACGATAGACTAGTTTCAAGGCCTAAAAATTGCTAGATCATACCTGTTTTCAAGGTCAAAACTCGGCCAACTTTCGAACCTAGCCTTCCCGACGTCCAAACTCGTCCAACGAACTACTCCCAAGCTCCTGGGAACCTCACAAACACCACTACAAGCTTAGAATCTCCTAAAACAAGCTAGATTAATCTTGCATGAACAGTGTTCAAATCGGACCTCGTCGAAACGACGTGAAAACAACGATATCCTTACCTGAAAATGGCACCACTGGACTCCTCTCAGCCTCACGAGCACGGTGGTGGTCTTGGTTTCTTGATTGGTGAAGGTTTGAGTGTGTTTGTGTGTTTGTCCGTGTGTTTGCAGAAGGAAGAAGAAGAAGAACTCGGGGAGAGTGAGAGAGAGACAGGGAAGAGACAGGAAATGAGGGAATCCCGGGGGAGTGAGACGAGGTGTAGGAGTGTGTGTGTGTGTGTGTGTGTGGTCCTACACACCACACAACACAAAACTACACGTAAAAATAACAACTAGGGGTAAAATCGTAATTTCCATGTACGTTTTAATAATTCCGGGACGGGATGTTACATAGATTCTCAGTTTTTTATTTTATTTTAAATAAACAATATTATCTACTCGAAAATAGAAAAAAGTAAGATTAATCTTACAATGATCTAGTAATAATGTGGTTCAAATTCATCTTAAATCAAATTGAATCACAATGCATTCTTTGGCGGTTGTGGGCAAGGACGAAAAGTAACAATAAATTAATTTAGACACAACTCTACACTAACACTATTCTATACTCATGTGAACTTTGTATGAGTTTCTTTTTTACAATTAGATTAAAAAAACTATTTTTATGACACAATAAAAACAACAATAATAGCTCTTTTTTTATTATTTTTTATATAATTAAGGAAACAACAACAATAGTTTTTTTTTTTTTAAAAAAAAGATCAGCTAGTGGTTTCATCACGACAATTCATTTTTTCTAAGATTGGAAAAAGACTCCTAAAGGCAACTCAGCCTTCTATGAACACCATCGTGTAATTTACACGTGCCATAAATCAAACTCAAAACATACTATGTGAAATACGGGCTTGAAATTTGTGTCCAACCACTAGATCATCTTGTGGTGGTTAAGCAACAATAATGGGTAAATGTGAAAAGTATTTAAGTCGATTGAAGAAATATTAACAAAACAAAAAACGAGTTTGACACATGGAGTACTATGGACCGGCAGGATGGACCCGAAAACTTGACCAAGGGCAAAATGGGCGAGGCGAGAGAGGGAATGAAGTCGCGGATGGCAAAAGGACAAATGAACATTTTTGTATGGGGAAAAAATCACAAATCTGGGAAGTAAAAATATAAAATACAAAGAGGGAGAGAGAGTTTTGCAGCTTGAGAAGAAGAAGAAGCTGTTCATTGGGGGCCCGATTGCTACATAGAAGGGCTGCAGCTCTTCATCGAGAGTGACGACATCATTCAGCAGCAGCCCTCCAACTGTAAGAATTCGAGACTTTGCTTTCTCCGTGAATATCTGTTTATTATCATAGCATAGGTGAAGTATTTTGGTTGATCTGGATTGCATGAACCCGGTTCTGTCTGTGAATTTTAGTGCTGAACGGAAATTGGGTCGTGTTAATTTTCATTTTTTCTTAATTTTTGGGTCAAATTGCTTTCTGGGTTTGCTTGTTTCGCGAGGTTAATTGGAGATCCCATTCTGTTTCAATGTGTTCTTGATGTAATGAGATGTCGATGTTTCGTGATTTGGATTTGTTGGTGTGCTGCAACTGAAAAAGTTTTTATTTCTGTGACTTGTGCTGAATGCAGCGATGTGAGAAGTGGAATTAGAATATCTGTTAGTGTGATTGTTAGCATTTCATGACTGAATTTAGATGCTAAAGAAGGATTGATGTAGAATGTGACGATGGATTGTGAGGAAAAGGGTGGATTTATGTGCATTTTGACGATTACTACTTACGAAAGTTGGGATTTTGCAATTGACAAATAGTTGAAATCGTAGAACCTCAATTGATGAGGACAATGAGAAAGTTAAGCTGCAAAATGTAGTAAGGCAGTGTATGCAAATTCCATGCAGATTTCGAAATGTATATTTGTAACAAGATTGGCCATTTTTATTCTGTTTCAGGCGGTAAATTCGTAGGGGTGAGGAAGATCAAGTTTTTGTTGGTTCCAGAGGGAGGTCAAGTTTGATATAGTTAAGTGATTTTCTTTTTGAACTTGAAGATTGGTAGGGACAGAATAGTAAAGAGATTACACTAGGCACAGATGTTTTCATTGTTTTATGGATTCTGGAAATTTATGTTCAGTAAGACGGAGTTTCATGTACTCATTCTTGGAATCGACAAGGCTGGGAAGACGGTAATACACATTCCTGTAATCTTTTAGTTATTGTGCTTTTCGTTGCCATTTTGAGATGCTTTTATCTTTGGTGCCATTAGTGGATTTTATTCTTTAAATTTTTAACCAGTTTTCAGAAACATCAGATGTAATTTTTAATCTGGTATTACTTTGTAGACTTTGCTCGAGAAGTTGAAGTCAATTTACTCAAACTTGGAAGGTCTCCCTCCTGATCGAATTGTTCCAACTGTAGGACTTAATATTGGTCGTATTGAAGCATCAAATACCAAACTTGTGTTCTGGGACCTAGGGGGTCAGGTATCTGAAATTCATCATTGCCGTTCATCTTATTTCATCGTCCTTATTCTTTCTTTCAACATAGATTCTCTCCTTTATTGTAAACCATAAGCTGCTAGCATCAATATTCAGATTTACTTTCCCTTAGAAAACATTACTAGTTTAGCAGTAGTATTATTACTATCAGTAGTTTGTTATCACATACCAACATCGATGTAGTCTCCATGCGTTGCGAATCAATCGCTTTCTCTAGCATCAATTTTCATTTTTGAGATGGCCAGTCACAAATATTGTGAAGCAAAGGGTTGTTTGTTTTGCTGTCAGCCTGGTCTTCGCTCAATCTGGGAGAAATATTATGAAGAAGCACATGCTGTGGTCTATGTAATTGATGCCACTTGTCCATCACGTTTTGAAGATTCAAAATCTGCATTGGGTAGGTGGTGTTCAATTGCTGAATCTTGTGAACATATTCTGCTGCAGTTCTAATTATCGAATCATATGATAGTATAGCTATTAAAGTTGAGGAATAACAAAATTACATGATGCACTACCCTGAATTTTACTACTTTTGAAAACCAGAAAAAGTTCTTCGGCATGAGGATTTGCAAGGAGCTCCTCTATTGATTTTGGCCAACAAGCAGGTGAGAGGCTACATTGTTGATCGCACAAAATCACAAGCAACCTAGTGATCTATCGGAAATTTTTGGCTTGCATGTCTCACTAAACCAGAAGTTTCACAAATTTTGACATTTTGTTCAGAATGTACACACATAGAAATCTATGTGCATAAGTTCTTATTGGGTGACATCTCTATAGACAGGTTGTAATTTGTTGTGCATCCTCGTTTCTGACATATGGAACTATTTCCTTCTATGTTTTGATATAACAATGTGTTATTACTCCGACATCTATCTTTTAATATGGTATCTGTTTTTTTATTTTAAATATTGTAATGTGTAATTTAGTTATGGCATCCATTATGTTGATTTAAGCTGGTTTTAAATTGAAATGTCTTTGCAATTGCAGGATGTTGCTGATTCTGTATCAGCCGAGGAACTTGCTCAATATCTGGATCTTAAAAAGTTGGATGAAAGGGTTTATATGTTTGCAGCCGTTTCAGCATACGATGGGTAAGTGGAACTTTTCTAGACTCCATTGCTTCACGACATAGGCAGATAGTTAATTATTTATTTGCTCCAAATGTGGAAGGGGAGCTTTTGAAAGGGTAATTTGGCACCCGATGAACCAGATTTCACATTGGAAAAATCTCAGCACTGAGATACTGAGATGCTGTAAAACTACAAAACACAATAGCTAAGCGCGTCGACATTTGATTGCAGGATGGGGATTAAAGAAAGCGTGGAGTGGTTGGTGGAGGTAATGGAGAGAAGCAAGAGAACTGAAACGTTGAGAGCCCGTGCAGGCCCGGCTTCTGCCTAGACCGGCCTAGACCAGCATGTATCAACCGATATGCGGTTTTCTTGCCTTGCTCTGCTTCTGTAACAATTGTGTAAAGAAATCGGGCTTTTTGAATTCTATGTTGAATTATTGTTTCCTGCTCTATGGATCATAGATCGTATCAGGCTGTTACGAATCAAGTTGCAGAGTATGAACATTATGTGTCGATATGACCGTTACAACTTTCGTTCGAACACAAATAAGAAACAGAACCAGTACACACAAAGCACAGCAAAATCTAACGATGCATCGTGAGAAAGCTTTTGTTTGCAACGAATCACATACATAAACACATTCGATTCTTCGAAATTCGAATACATTAGTTTCGATTCCTTCACTTTCTGGAAGAGTTGAAACTGCTTCAGTTTTCCAGGGCAGGTGGTGCAAAAGGAGCTTGCGCGCTTTTCTTCACTGCTGGTTGGGGTTCTTTGCAAAACAAAAGGAAAAAAAAGGGGCCAATGTGAGAATTCCATTAAATTTAACCCCCAAAGTCCAAAATTCCAAAAGTAATAGGGTAAAAAAAGATAAAAGAGCGTACTGGAAATGAGGGCCATAGGCCTGGTCTTGAACAGAATCCGGTGGCGGATGATTCCGATGACTTCCAATTCTACCCCGGCGGCACAAGCATCGTCATCAGAACCATCTTCGGAGCGCTTCGTTTTCTTCAAGACCAAGAGCGGCTTCTTCAAGGGCAGTTTCGTCCCCATCAGTTCGTGATAGCCGATAGTAAACGTGTAGGTTTCCGGCGAGGAAGGGCGGCAGAGGAGGCCAATGTGGAGGTTGTGGAGGCGGTCTTGAAATTGCGGCTGAACTTCCACCACCCCTTGCAATTCCAGCACCGCCCATTCCCGGCAGTCCTCTCCGCAGCTGCACTTCACCCGGATCTGCATTCCTCTCTTCCCTTCAACTCTGCGCTCTCAGATTTCTTTAATACGACAGCCCTATTTAGTATTTGTTATTTGTTGATAAATAATGTGGATATTTGGCGCCAACGGACTCCCGCCAAAAGATGATCAATGTGCAACAAATCTGTTTTCGGCCCGATTCTTAGAGCCCATTAAAACTCAACCGACCAAAGTTTCCGAACTTCTCCCACTTTTTTTTCAAGTACATCGATATTTTTACTGCGATTGTCACACCACTCAGGTAGTAGCGTGGTAGAGGTGTTCAATGGGTCGGTCGGCAGTGACACGGCCCGCTTAAATAAGGTACGGCACGGCCGGCCTAATTCATAAAAAATGGGCGGGGTGAGCCTAAAAGATAGGTTAGATGATCGTGTAGGCCCACGACCTATTGTGCTGGTCATGGGTTGAGCACGACCTGCAGCCTTGGCCTATTACGAATAATGTCTTTTTTTTTTTTTTTCCTTTCATTTTTTGTATAAAAAATTGATCCCAAGTCAACAAGGTTCTTTGCCTTGTGAAGATCGTAAGGAACGTCTATCGTACTTAACTTTACCCTCACTTTGCAAAGAGACTATTTTCACAATTTACACCACTCATAACCATTCAATTATAAATGAGCAACTTTTCCTTGCGCTATGCGCCAAGGCTCCCCTCTCAAAGCATGAATTTAGTTTTAGAAGCTTAAAGCATGTGAAGTGTGAACTTAGGAGCATCACACACTTTTTAAGGTCTACAAGGGAAAAATAATTAAGCGTTTAATTTAAGCACAAGAAACGAAAACAAGAAAACAAATCCTAATTCTTGTAGAAGACCAGTTGGCAATTAGTTTCATAACACCATTTTGTTTTGTAATCCTTAAATCCTCGTAGTTATACTACTCCTTTAGTTTATGGATTACACGCAGCGATGTATAAACAAGGACTTTTAGTCTATTATTATTTTACATATTTTCAATTCATCTTCTGCGCAAGGAAAACTTGTTTACTTACAGTTTCAAAATCATGGCATCAGGTGTGTTTTTCCTTCGTATTTCCCTTTACTTTGTACATTTGTTTACGTTGTTATATATCATGATAACGAGCGGAATGACGTTCTAGGATATCCCACTTAATAGAATATGGCTTTGTTGTTTGTTGTTGATATCCTTCTATATTTATGTCTGCAATTCTACAAGTTTAACATATATAATTTTTCTTCCTGACAGATTGGGCAAATCTTCCTACGCATCTTTTGGGTTCAGTTTTAGAGAATTTAGTGTCACGGTTAGACTATATACGGTTTAGTGTTGTTTGTATGTCATGGCATTGTGTAGCAAAAGATAATAAAAGAAAATTTGACGAGATGTCAAGTTGTCATAAGGGGTGTGATATTCACACACCTTTAACTACTTTTCCCACACCCTTTCTATTTTTTAATACTTAATTGGTATCCTACAATTTAATCTTCTCATGTATACCCTTCCTAATTTTTGACTTTTGAAAGTTGCTTTTTATTTTTGATTTTTTCACTTGGAAAGAACCAACACTCATGATAAACTCCCAGACTTCTCCCCTTCCCCTGTGCCTCCGTTCCCTTGTCCTCTTTGCTTCCATTCATACCTTCCACGAAAAGCCAATCTATTACCCTTCTTTATTACTTCTTGTGAAAAACCACAATGGATGACCTCATAATAATAGATGAAGAGCTCCAGATGGACATTCAGTTGCAGAACAAATTAGATATATATGGCATGCAAGGAGGATGGCATGGAGGAAATTTCAGAATGCATTCCTCCTCTTAACACTTTTGATGGTAAGTTTCTAAAGTATTTTCTCAAATTATTAAGATTGGTTTTGGAATTTAGGGTTTTTGTTCTCCTCTTGCGTTAGGTTTTTATCTCAATTTTTTTTTAGGGTTATTTTTTTTCTTTCCCTAATTTGTGGTTCAAATGTCAATCGAATGAATGAATACTGGTGTAGTTTTAATTTTTAAAGAAGATTTTCAAATTGTGGATCAGAAAATTAAAAATTGATTTGTGTTGGTTTTGGGGAAATTAATTTTCTATTGGAATGCTGTTTGTATTGGTCCCCAATACACTTTAACTTAATGGTAAATTGGTATTAGGTTTAAATGGTTTTACTTAGGCTCCATGACCATATGGAATTATTGGGTGCCTAACCTCAATGTGCAAAAATCGATGTAGAGAGCTGCTTTGCAGCTTAAATTTCGAGTTTGCTGCCAGTAAATACCTACAATGTTAGAGTTAAGTTTGATACATACAATGTTTTGGTATAAACTTGATATAATGCATACAATGCTTTGGTATAAATTTGATACTTAAATGTCTAGCCCATTGATAAAACCAAAGTATATATTCTACATATATAAATGTGTTTGTTTGATATATAGGAAGTCAACCAACACTTGATGAGCCCGATAAAATGCTCTTCCATTAACTCTTGAGCCTAATGTTAAACCTCACAAAGGTCGTCCAATGGGGTCTAAAAATAGAAAAGAATCAAGCTCTACAAAGTGTGGTCCTTCAAAGTTTGAAATAGTGGAGAAGGCTCAGAAACGTGCTCGATAGGTATGTCATTTTTTTATATTTATCTTTTAATATTGTCTACTATGGTCATGATTATTTATATATACGTATAACTTAATGTTCATTGTTTATAGGTGTGAGGAGTATAATGATTTGCCAAAGAAACTTTTTGTTAATAATAGCTTAGATGTGTAAAGAACACATGAAAGTACATATATTTTTGTTGATTTTTCCCCATAAAAATACTAATCAAGTTTGTAATTTTCTTTCCTTTTGTTGACATGTTTTTATTTTCCTGTAGGTTGGAGTGCATGAGTTTCATATCTTTTTGGTGACATTGACATCTCCTTTTGAACACAAGATTAAAGGCCAAACATAGTGTAGGCAGGATGTGAAAGCTTGTAATGATATCTGATATATTTTTTGGGGCATGAGGCTACTATTATGGGGATTAAAGTGTATGTGGATTGCTTACTAGTATTTTGTACAATTCATGTTACTTATGCATATATGTTATATCATTAGGTAATTGTTTTATTTTTATTTATATATTGCTGAAGCTTTATTTATTTATTTATAATAGGTGTTTTATACTTGTTTTGGGATCTCTCAGGTTAGGCAGTGGAACTTAAAGAGTTACAAATGGGCATATATGGTTGAATGTTTTTATGCTTGAGTGTTTTAAAAAAAAATAAGTTTAAAATAAAATAACAAAAGTATTCTAAAATTCCAAAGGTCAAAAAGTAAGAAGGGTATGTATGGAAGATTAAAATGTAGGATACCAATTAAGTATTAAAAAATAAGAAGGGTGTGAAAAAAGTAGTTAGAGGTGTGTGAATATCACACCCCTTGTCATAATCCACCACTACTCTTAATCCAAACTGGCAAAAAACCTAAACCAAAGTGGAATTTATACAACCCCATGGAAGACAAGGTCCTTGGTTTGCAACTGGAATTTCCGAACAAGCGACTGCGTGGTTCTTCAAAAGGATGGTTAATAGCTGTGAATATGGATTTGCTAGTAACTCTTATAAATCCGTTTTTAAGGGTGAAAGGGAGACAAAAGAGGGCAGATTCCATCATCGATCTTCCTCCTTTAGCTTGTCCAGATAATATGTCTCCCCGAAGAAAGACTATTTTTGTAAATAAGGCGACACTGTCAGCAGATCCAATCTTGGAGGCCGATAAATGTATCGTCATGGTCATACATGAACGTGAGGGTAATAATCTGGCTTTCTTTGGACTCACCAAAGATACGTCATGGACTTACGTTGTTGATGAAACACTTCGCTCTCTCCAAGATGTTGTTCATGTCGGAAACAAGTTTTATGTTGTCAAAGAAATGGGAACACTTTTTTCTTTTGATATTACTTCCGATCAATCCATCTCTGATAAACAATGGGTTGCTGCCGATACCTTGGAATGTTTCCAGAAGTCCGTAAAGACATATGTTGTGGTTTTAGATGATAACGAACTGTTGATGGTTCAAAGAGTGGTTGAATTTGATGATGGTGGTCGTTGGACAAATGAAGTGGGGATCTTTAAATTGAATTTTGATATGTACGAGTGGATTGAGACAGAAACCTTAGGTCACGTTGCTCTATTTTTGGACGATAACTTTTCGATATCTGTCAAGGCTTCGAATTTCTCAGGATGCCTGCCAAATTGCATATACTTCAATTATAATTTTGATTGTGTCAATAGTTATCCAGAACACCGCTTAAATGATGATTATGACGTGTACGACTCAGGCACTGCCTTAAAACTTTGCTTCATATTATTGTACGTCGCGTCAAATGTGTCTTTTATCGATAAAAACAGAGGTGTATTATCGTCTAAAAATTATAACTTCATCAAGCATCAGATTATTGACTGCCGTATTCCAACTTGTTGATCAGGATCCTCTCCTGAATTAAGGATGACCTGAGCAAACTTATTAGATAGTTGAAATTTTATTCAACAGTTACAATTATTATAAATTTAAAAAGATCTTTATTTATAACTGTTGGATAAAATTTTAACAGTTTGATGAGCTTACCAAAAAGATCCTCATCCTTAGCTCAGGAGAGGATCCTGATCCCCAACTTGTAGCCCATGGGAAACACGTGGGTCTGAAGACCTTCGAAGCATTTCAGTTTTCAACTTTTTACTCAGGGAGAGAGAGTGTGTGCGGCTCATATTCCAGCGGTGGTCGGCGGGGAAGTCATTTTCCGGCGATGGAGGAGCAGAACTCCGAGGACTTGCTCCCAACTGGATGGACAGTGGAGGTCAAGTTTAGAAAAAATGGCAGAAGAGACAAGGTATGGAATTTACACTCCTTTCTATCTTTTAATTAAGTTTATTTATTTACTTCTCAAACCCTAATTAGGAAATTAGTACAGGTGCAAGATCCTTGAGTAATTTCGGGAGTTGGAGTTATAGTTTAGTTTTAATTTAGTTTTCTGTAAGTTGGTAAGAACCAATTTTTGTGCTTGTAAAAAAGTGGACAGAGGATTGGAAGGTTGGATTGATACGAGCGATATTCTACTTTAAACTAATTTGAAGGGGATTCGAGCACCTCCTCACAAGTTTGGAAATTTAGTTGTGATGTTGAGGTGTGTATTTTAGATATGAACTTAGAACCAGACACTTCCTAGGTTGTTGAAAATGTGGATTTTGAGATTAAATTTGACACCTTTGCTGCTGTTTTCGAATGTGTTATAATGTACCATGCTCCCTTCGAAACCAATTTTCTACGTTGATTATATGAAATTTTGTGTTTTGTGGAACAAAATGTGCTTCTCTGAACTTTGTACTATCGAATTTCGAAGTTTCAAGTTCCTTTGACAATCTGTTATGTATCATCAATTTTTTTTCTGCCTAAATTTCTCGGACTAAATCCGGAACATTTCCTTTTTAATGCGTAAATTGATATCCTTATTTATTGGGAACTGAACTTGCAACTTCATTTGTGGTAACATGAAACTTTAAAACTATTTGAACAAAGTTTGAGACCATTTTTAATTATTGTGGAGAGAGATCTGATTATCTTTTGCGATAGATAATTTAGCAGAGGTGGTTATATTTTGTGTTTATTGCAGTATTATTACGAATCCTCAAGTGGGCATAGATTTAGTTCCAGGGCAGAGGTATCTCGATATCTCAGCACCTCCAGTCATGAAGACGAACAGAAAATTAAAGAGACTCTCAAGCGACCTTCAGATGATGTCTGTTGACTCAAACTTATCTTTATTATTTGTGTTTAGATGTTTAATCTTGACAAATTTTACTAATTAAGATATGGAAACTTCAATTTTCAAGCATTTAGATTGTAGTTGAGAAGACTGTAGCAGAAGGACTACCTCCAGGGTGGACCAAAGAAATTCGGATTACAAAAAAGGCTCGAAAGACTAGGAGAGACACGGTAATGAACTCTCTCTCTCTCTCTCTCTCTCTCTCTCTCTCTCTCTCTGCTCATGTGAGTGTGTGCGTGTGTGCATGCACAGTATGGCCTTGTTAATAGTTTCCACGGTCTTTCAGTTTCAAGCTCATTGCACTCATTCACTTTATCATGGGTCATCGCTAAAGTTCACTCCTTTTTTTACTGATATTCAATCTCTCCGCAGCATTATATAGCTCCTGTAAGTGAAAAAGTATTCTGCTCTATCAGGGATGTGCATCGATATCTTGAAAATGAGGAGCCAGGAAGGTTAATTCTTGAGCTGAGTGGCGATAAGGAATTGGAAGATGAAAAAGCCTCTGTAAGTGTACAACAAAAATGCATTGTCTGGATTTTAAACGCTACCGTACCTGCTATTAATTTAGATTGTTAGGAAAAAGTGTACTTATAGTTTTTCCTTGATATCTTTCCTTGTGTGGATTCTCTGCTGTAACCACGAAACAGGAATTAGACAAACCGAGCTTGAACTTGAATGAGACAATGAAGGATGGAGAGATACTTAATTGTTCATGTAATAGAGAAGGCCCGTCCCTTCCTAAACATACTTCTGATCAGAGTAATGTTCAAACTTCACGTCTTATTTACAATCTCTTGGTATTGCCCTTCATAGATGTATTCCTTACTTTCCCCTTTCATGGGATTTGGGACTGAAAATTGACATAAAGTTATTTTCATTTTTGTCTTGATGATTTAGGAAAGTTCATTTGCTTTCCATGGCCAAACCTTATTCTGAAACACTAAGTTAATAATCTTTTAACTGACATGAACCGGGGACATGCTGCAGGTGAGGCAGGCACTGAATTAGGCAGCTTAAATCCTTCAGAAGCCAAAGGTTCGGAGCAAAATGAACAGGATGGTGATTCTACAAAAAGTGAATGTATTTCAGCTCCCGAAGGTGGAGACCCGCCAGGTAGCCAATGCCTGGAAAGTGGGCCGATAAAACATGAAAGAAACCGTCCTGGTCTCTGCAAATCAAAGAACAAGAAAGAGCTTATCTTGCCTCGCCGTGCTTCAAAGCGACTAGCTGGAGTTGAAGTTGGTCCAGTTCCAGAACTGAAAACAAGTACTCGAACCCGTCGAGTTGCAATTGAACAGTCAGGGGAGGGAGCACGCCATACAACTGAAGGCCTGTCCCTTCCTGAACACAGTTCTGATCAGAGTAATGTTACAAATTTCACGTCTTGTTTACAATCTCTTGGTATTGTCCTTTCATAGATATATTCCGTATTCTTTCCTCTGGTTTTTGTGTGGGAATGGGATTTGAGACACTGAAAATTGACATGAAGTTATTTTCTTTACACATCGTAATGATTTAGGAAGTTCGATTGATTTCCAAAAGCCAACTCTGCAACACTAAGTTAGTATTCTTTTATCTGAGATGAACTCGTGACATGTTGCAGGTGAGGTGGGCACTGAATCAGGCAGCTTAAATCCTCCAGAAGCCAAAGGTTCAGACCAAACAGAACAGGACAGTGATTCCACAAAAGGTGAATGTATTTCAGTTGCTGCAGGTGGAGTCCTGCCAGGTAAGCAGTGCCTGGAAAGTGGGCTGATGAAACATGAAAGGAAAAAGGCCCGTCTTAGCCTTTGCAAATCAAAGAATAAGATTGAGCTTATCTTGCCTCGCCGTGCTTCAAAGCGACTAGCTGGAGTTGAAGTTGGTCCAGTTCCAGAACTGAAAACAAGTACTCGAGCATGTCGAGTTGCAATTAAACAGTCAGGGGAGGGAGTATGCCATACAACTGAAGGTTCTTACCCTGGTGATTTGCTCAGTTGTGCGTCCCAACATCCTGATTATTTTGAGGTTGAGCCAAAAAAGCATATTCAAAACGTGGAACGAGCAATTAATGGTGATGACAAGCAACGGTGTGCTTCTGTTTTCCCATCGGGGAGCCGAACTAGCCCAGAAGAGCATGCAGGAAAACTTGAAACTGATGATAAGGCGGAAGAGAAACCAGGACTTCAACCAGACTTGCCTCTTGAGGATTTCTTCACAGATCCCTGCATTGCATTTGCAATAGAGACTCTCACTGGAATAGGTTTTGACAATTCCAGGAGCAATGATGAGCATTCTTCAGGGGACCTGGCTACTCCAAAAGGTCATGCTGGGGACGTAGAAACAGACAATAAGAGCAGCGGAAAGCAGGAAAGCGGCAACCTCTTTATACCAGAAGACGGATGGAAAGTTGCAAGGGATGATAACGCTAGACAGAAGTCCGGATCCCCAACTGAGTTGCCTTTTGGGGGTTCATGGCCCGATCCATGCATTGAATTTGCTATTAAAACTCTCACGGGTGCAATCCCAGTAGACTACGATCCGCATATCGAGGAGTACTTTCAGCAGCAACTAAGCTCATCAAAAACTCAAGGAACAAGCGACTTGACCTTGAAAAATGTTGGTTTGGATAACTTCTGCCAAACGGATGATTTGTGCGAGCAATTCTGTCATGCTGAGTTCCCCATGCTTAAGAAACAAGCGCTTTCTGAGCCTCGACTCACCAAGAGTGGAAGTTTACATAGTTCCGGTGGATCAGATGTAAACCAAAAGGGGAGTCAGAGACACTGACTTCAACCCTTGTACAGCTTATAGAACACCTTGTAGCAACCTGCTTCCACGCCCTCCTTTCACCCTCCCTCTAACCCTTTTTACTTTTCTTGTGTCGTCTTTTAGGAAGAGACCACATCGGTGAAGCTTTCGCTGTTTGCACCTGTGTGTACGTGTAACACTAGTGTCTGTAACTTTAGTACGATGTATTCATGCTATTTTCCCATTATGTTAGCTAAGTTTGTTCACTAATTATGATTAAGATGTAAGCATATACAGACTCCATTAATAAACCTGAGGCAAAGATCGTCAAGGAGAACAGAAGCTTTTATATGGAGGTTGGTTGACATCCCGGAAAATTCGAAGCCAAGACGGATGTTGACTGATTTGCGCCCACGGAGAGAGCCTAATCTCGGATGCCTTTTGGCTCAACATGTTGCACAAAGGCCGACTGATCATGATCATCGTTCAACACCAACTTATCTACCTTAAAACTCACGGTGATAAACTTTGAGTCGTCAAAAACAAAATTCGTGTGACTTGGACTGAAACAAACTTGACTTGGTCTGACCTTTTTGTTGCTTGGGTGTTAAGGGCCCAGTGTTCTTGTTGTACTCGGAATTGTTTGATTGTAATTGATAACTGGAGATTTTGGAAGTATAATAGTAAGACTAAAAGCGATAATTGAAAACTAAATTCATAGAATCAAAATAAAATGGGTTTTTGAACTTTAATCCGTGAAGAAGATTAAAATTCATAAAAAACTGGAATGTGCACTTAATTCAAATTCATATTACAGTTTTGTTTTAATATTTAATAGATATCTTATTTAATGTCATTATGGTAAAATTAAAATTTATTATTATAAATATTTTAATTCATTAATTTTATTTTACTTCCTCTAATTAGTGTACTTAAATGTTCGTATCATAATATATTTTACTAAATTCGTGTACCGAAATGTCCGTACTTAAATATATTATACTAACTTAGTGTACCGAAATGTTCATACCTAAATATATTGTAATGAATTAGTGACATATAAGAAAATATAGAAAAACATAAGTGTACTGAAAAATCTCTATGAAAATATTTTCTTATATAAGATACTTACCATAATGAGAATTAAAATTTATAATATTTTCATAAAATTTAATTTATGAACACCATAAAATTATAAATAAAACAGAGAGACATTGAATACATATGCTGACATTAAATAGAGTCTAGGGACTAAAATCAAATTTTAATCTTGTATAAGACATTTTTGTAAACTTTATCTTATTTAAGGATTAAAATCTAGTTTTCTAAAATAAAGAAGACACTTTTGTAGAAAACACGGTTGCATTCAACCATGCAACAAAATTCTTAAAATACCTAGCTATGAGGATGATTTGTTTGTTGAAGGTTTTGTTCTGTTCCCTTTTTCATCGGAGCAATTGTGCTCCTTCTTGTTGGCTTCTGTATAGTAGACTTTGTAGTCACTCTTACAAAAATATTTTCCTTCATACTTTGTTCGCTACAATTCCAAAACACAAACCAGAGTATGAAGGGAATTTTTTTTTGCAAGAGGTGCCACAACGTCTACTGCACAAAAGGCGACAATGAGGAGCACAATTGCTCCCGTGCAAAAGGTAAAAGAACAAAGCTCTCGACAAACAACTCATCATCTTCTAAGAAACAAGAACCTCCAGCTAGGTATTTAAAGAATTTGTTGCACACTTGCATGCAACCGTGTTTCCTACGAAGGTGACTTTGTTATTTTGATTCTATAGATTTCGTTTTCACTTGTTGCTTAAACATAGATTTCATAGCTTTGATAGCTCTTACAAGAAATTAAGCAAACAAACGGAAAAAGAAAAATGAAAACAAGAAATTAAGCGAACAAATAGAAAATAAAAAAATAAAATAAAAGAAAATAAAAACAAAGCATAAACCCTTATAACTAGAGCAATGAAATGCAAAGAGAGAGCAAATAAGAACAAAGTCAATTGGATAGATATATATAGGCACATCCAAATGCAAAAGAGACGACTCTTCTTGCAATCCGCATGACTTTGCTAGGTAAGAAATTTTGTAAGGAAGAATAGCAGCCACACAAAAGAGTTTGCTCGGTAAGAAATGTTGTTAGGAAGAATAGCAGCCACACAAAATGGTTTGAATGAAATTAATCATTTGACTAAAAGCACACACTTTTCTTGATTTTGTGGAAGAAACTAAAAAGGCAGCATTTATGCTTATATTGCAAAGATGTATGTATTTGAAAGTGCTTTTAAAATAATTAAAATTGTTTTTTTTTATAAAAGTATTTTTAGAACTAATACTTAAGAAAAATGTTGGTGTATCATGAAAAATCACTTGAAGTGCTTCTTGTAAAAACACATAATTGATGTTTCTTGTAAGAAGCACTACAAATCATTTTGGAATCTAAAACATTTTTATCAAAAACGCTTTTAATCATTTTAAAAATACTTCCAAACAAGTCCAAACTTAACCAACGAAACACAAGGTTTCTTTGTCAAGGTTTCTTTTCTTGCAACCAACAAATAAATTTAGACAAACATAATGTGGACTCAACACGTCCAAGTATCCACTAATGAGTCGCACGTCTGCAAGAAGGATCTTCACCGCAGACTTTCTTCTCGTAGGCAATCGCCCTTGAGGACCTATAAGTGGCCACCTGACGTGTTTGTAGTTCATTATGTTAGTCTAGATGTCGTTCCATCTTAAAAATCATATTACGATATATGTCGTTACAATTAAACGATAAATGTAAACATTGTAAAACAAAAAAATTTAGATGAAATTAACAAAAGATAAACAAAAAATTTAGGCGTTTTATGTGCATATTTCAGTAATGGCTAAATAGTCAAAATGGTTCATGAGATATGCATACTACATTACTTTGGTTCCTGAAATTGAAAATCAATAGAAATGGTCATTGAGATTGTCCACCATCCAACATTTTGGTCATTCCTTAAAAACTCTTTAGGCAATTTTCAAAGCTTTGTAACTTAATCGTTTATTAACCAAATTTGACCCATAATATATCAAAATGAAGATACAAAAGTGTAGAACACTACTGTACCTATTTGGAAGTCCAATGGTTGCCGGAGATGGCCGGAAAATAGCCTCAAAGTTGACTGATCGGCAAAAAAACTGGAAAATGGGTAAACTTTAAACGTTCATAACTTCTTCAATACTCAACTAAATCGAGTGACTCAAAAACGAAAAGCATACTTCTTGACGAGATGAAGAGAATCATATCTTTATTGATGGCTAATTCATCGTAGTTTGGCTGTAAAACGGCTCAAAATTGGCTAACCATTTTTGAGTTAGCCACTTTCGAGCCTTTTTTCGGCCAAACCACGGCCAATTAGCCTTAAATAAAGGTATCATTCTCTTTATCTCGTCGATAAGTATGATTTTTATTTTTGAATCACTCGATTTCGTTGAGTATTGAAGAAGTTATAAACGTTTAAAGTTTACCCAGTTTCCGGCGAGTTTTCTAGTTTTTCCGCGGACCAGTCAACTTTGAGGCTATTTTCCGGCCATCTCCGGCAACCATTGGGCTTCCAAATAGGTATAATCTTGTTCTACAATTTCCTATCTTCATTTTGATATATTATAGGTCAAATTTGGTTAAGAAAATATTGAGTTACGATGCTTTGAATATTGCACGAAGAGTTTTTAACGGAATGACCAAAATGATAGATGGTGGACAATCTCATGGACCATTTCTATTGATTTTCAATCTCAGGGACCAAAGTGATGTGTTATGCATATCTCAAAGACCATTTTGGCTATTTAGCCTTCAGTAATTTATTCTCAGTGAACTTGGAACTCACGAATTTGTGTTTGTTCGACATAATTCCAAGTTCGCTGAGAAGGAATTGTCACAAACCATCTCACTGGCAATTACTGAGCCCAGTTGAAACTTACATGTGGAGCTCGAATGATACATAAACAAAACAAAAACCCTTGTTTCTGTCAAAATCCAAAACTCCAGACTTTCTCTCCCTTCATTTCTTATCATATTGGTGATCTTGATCATAATGTTTGAGTATTTCTTGGTCTGCCTTCATTTTTTATCATATTATTTTTAGCCGTTAGATCTTTCACCCAACAATCAAAATTGAACGACTCAAATCCCGGTATATAAAATACACCTGAATATAAAAGAATTTTCGCTGTTAATCAAGGATGAACCGCCAGTTGGTTTTATGTTTTTCTTTCTTTCTAACTGTTGGTTTTATGTTTAGTTAAACAGAAATGACTGCCTACATATATGGAGTCATGCAATATTCACACACAGAAACTTGCAAGAGGTAGCATATACAAACTAGATAATTTGGCATTAATTTTGCTAAACTCGTGTAATTGACTTCGGTAATAGAAAACTTGGAATGTCATCAACCTATGTACTATACATTATAAATACAAAAAAAAATACAAAAGGAATATATTATACAATCCAACTATGAATCAAAACTAGTCCGGTTTATGTATAGTGAATCTCATCTGCCATCAAGTGAAAGCAGATTGGTGCCATCAAGTTAATTGTGAAGCGGATTTGGTCCTCCAGGAACAAGCCGGTGCGAAACTGCATGGATCGGGTTGATCTTGTTCTTCATCGTCGACTCCATAGATTTTAGGAACATAGGAAAATACTTGCTGTATATCAACTTCTGTTCTGTATCTCCGTTAGAAGCTTGAGTAGAAGTAGTTATCGGTCGACAGCTGCAAATTTGAATCACTGCTAACAGAAGAATGACAACTAAAATTGGGATTATGGGCTTTTGAACTTTCATGGTTTGTCTGATAAGAAAAGCAGAAGAGATATGTGGTGGTTTGCAGTGTTGGTGTTTGTCAACAAATCCTTTACACTGCTCTATAAATAAAGGAGCACGTTTATCCACGTTTGTCCAAATGACAAAAGCCGACTTTGCAGGAAGTCACTTTCTGCAATGTAATTGTAAGCTGGCCACTTGTAGCTCCTATATATGTTAACAGGCACCGTTGACTTATCCCCCAAGCTACAACTTTGTTTTAAAAAAATAAATTAGATGGAACTGCAAGCATAGCAATCGATCATTCTATGGTGAAATTTTCCTTCTCTTTTCCTTCGGGAATCGATTAAATTATGCAACTGGTGTAGACTGTAGAATTACATAATCCTTTTTCATTTCCAGAGACATGATGGCTATACTTTGTCTCTAGGAGGAATTTGTGGGACAGATGCGTTAAAAATTTCAATCCATTCGGACTTTTTGTTGTTACGATTGCATTATTTTAAATACAGATGATGAATTTTGACTGCTTTTTCGCGTGAATACGACGTGCAAGACGTGTAATTCATGCATTGCAGCATAAATTTGACAAAAATAAAACGCTTGCTTACTGTAACATTGCAGACAAATTCATGGTGTCAGCAAGCAGGTTGCTTATAAAAAATGACACTGAGATAATGAGATTGGTCCATGGAAAAACAAAATCGGTTGACATTTCTGTTTGTTTGCTTATGTATAAGATACGACCTAATCCATTTTTTTTTAAATGTTTATACATTTTCTTAATCAAAATTTGCAGCAATTGACTAAACACGGTTGCATTATTCACGATGTAAGAAAAAAAAATGAGAAGTTTGAAATTACGAGGCCGGCGGTATGAAGTTTGGAATCTTGACCAAACTTGAAGAAATAAAATTGATCAAGTAATCTGATGGCGAAGGTGGATCTGTCGATAAACGTCTTGACCTGGTTTTTTCTCAGCTCTTTGACTAAGAACACCGGCAATCAGGTGACTTTGAGATTCATTCATTCATCCATTGTTTTCCAGTCTGTTCTATAGCGCATAATCGAACGATCATCCAAAAATCGAGAAGTGTAGTGATTCAGCGGAGTGGTTCCGCTTTGATTAGTTCCGAAGATCCTCGTGTTGTTCAAACTAAAAACCAACGCATTGGATGTACTCAGCTTAATTTCTGATCTATATATGCACCGAGTATGATGCAAACAAAATCATTAGACATTCAAAAAAAGGAATCAATTACTTTACATCTTCGATTTACAAAATTATAACACAATAATGTGATAAATTTAACGACTAATTGGTTCGATGAAAGAACGGAAGAGAGAAGAAAGTTTCCTTAAAATATATAGCAGGAAGCTGATTTTTTGAGCTTTCCTTGTTCTTTCCAAGAACCAAGTGTATGATCTGCAACATAAAATTCACTCAGTTGTGAAGTGGATTTGGTCCTCCGGGGACAGCTTTGTGAGCAACAACATTTATTCCGTTCATCTTCTTGTATCCAAATCCTGCAGAAGAATGAGAACCGGCACCAAGGCGCCGTGCAAAGAGAGACGAAAACTTGGCTCTTAGTCTTGATTCCGAATCCTTGCTGCCCTGCCAGGACCAGGTGATGCGCCGGCAACTCGAATCATGAGCTAGTGCTAGAATCACAACAAAGAGCATAATCACAGGAGAGAGTCTACAAATTCTCATGACTCCAAAAACTTAGCTACAAGGCTTGAACTCAAAGGATTAATCTATGAGAAATTAGGCATGCTTTTGAATTGTTTTTTTTTATTTGGTAGGAAAAGATGAGGCAGCCACTGGTATGATAGAAGACAAAACTAACAATCAATCAATCATATATATATATATATGAGAACGCTTGAACACTCATTTTCTAATCATTATTAGGGCTCAAGGAAAAAACCAAATGAAAATAAATAGATAATCCAACGAGAAAAGACAACACATTAAACCAAGAAGCTAAGCATTTGATAGAAGCAAGCTAGCTGATTTGTTTGATGTTGAGATATCGGGAGGGACACGTATTGTTTTAGTACTGCGTAAAAATTTTAACAGTGTTATGAAGAAACAAGATCTGCTTTATAACCGGTTGTACCCAATCATGTGTCCACATGATGAGAGAGATAGATAACTGTTGAAGCTTAAATCCCTCGTTATTAAGGCAAGTCAACAAATTGCAGTAGCTAAGGGACCAGGGCATTTAATCAATTGTACACCATTTTATATACAGTACAGTTAAAAGATATGTCAACAGTCAGAAACTTCAACTGCCAGCAGTAGACAGTGAAAGGTGATTGTGGTCCAAAAATGAAAGGACTGGGATCCTGGATTGGTAATATTTGGTTTTCAGTGAGAAAAACAGAGAGTACGAACGTGAAATGCACATCCAAAGCTAGAAAGAAAACGAGGCAGATTGTCTGCCCTCTGTTTAGTGGCCTTTCCCATCCTCCCATATTTTGTGCGGTCACGGTTAAGCCACGTCAACATTTTATATTAATTTTTTTTATAAAGATAATATGACAAAAAGCAATCGGAATATAAAATGTTGACGTGACTTAACTGTGACTACACAAATAGGAGATGATGAGAAGGGTAGACAATCTGCCTCCGAAAGAAAATGCCTACACAATGAAAAATCTGAAAAAAAAAAAACTGTCCTCAGATTGAAGATCAGCAAAACAACTTTTGATTGAAGTAGCTTATGCTTGCTTCAACAGGGACACCGATTTTCGTGTGCCACGAGAAGTGGAAAACTTGGAAACAGTAGGTACATAACATGTTTCTCCTACCTTGAGACATCGAAATCCATATCTAATCGTGATTGGATTCTAGGTTCCAGAGGGATGCGAAAGACGGGACCTTGAGATAAAAAGATACTACGCATATTGTTTCTTATGGGTGGCTTGTCGTGCCGTTAGGGTAAATGCGTTGTATTTTCGAGTCGTGGTGCCGGTAGGGTAATGCATCGCCGTGCCGGAAGGAGAGTCTTTCCTCAAAAGGACAAGGTGCTAGAGTGACAACCAACAATCTTTGATTGAATAATCAGTGTCATTGTAGTCTTGGTATGACGTGAAATGTGGGCAGCCCAATTCCTCCGGGCCATAAGCTATTTTGCCAAATGACTCGAACCCTAAAGACATGCTTATCTCTCGAGAAGATATTCGACAGAGCTATCTAACTAGAAAAGCTCTCAAACAAAGCGAGACCGCAAGAGGGCAGATGAACCAAAACATAAGGACTTTCTATTCTTTTGAAAGAGATGACGGGCTTGGAGCACCCCCACAGAATCTCCCTGGCAAAAGTAATAGGGCAGAATACTAATTTCGTATGTACGAATCATCTACATATAATTCCTTAACCGCACAAAGGACTCACAGAAGTCGAAGATTGATGATTTATTACACCACAACTTAAGCATCCACGAAAATCTGATTATAACAGGAGTATCCTAGGCTATGAAAGCAGTAACTTATGTTTGCACAAGATTCACCAAATATGCAGCAGCCAAACCCCAGCTTCGATAGTACCTAAATGGTTTTGGGATTTGCAATTACTCTGGTTCAGCTTCAGCACTGGATGAGGTTTCCTCGGATTTAACAGCTGGACTATCAGATGGAATATCTTCAGCAGGCTTAGTAGCTTCTTGATCAGCGGCTTTAGCGGTTTCACCAGTGGATTCTCCTTCAGTTCCCGGAGCTGTGCTCTTAATGGATCCAACCTTGACATACTTGCTCATGAACTTGTATTCCCAATCCTGCAAGGCCTCGAGCTCGAATGGACCAAGACCTGAGATATCACCAGTCAGATCTTTGTCTTCAAAAGACATTTTAGCAAGAGCTCGGCTAGCATCTTTGCCTGCGAACAGAGCATACGGCCCACCAGGTCCATAAAACATCCTGCAATGATGATTCAAAAGTAAATAAATTTGGATCCGTGGAGAGAAGACAACATTAGACAAAGTACTCGTAGTTATGGAACTATTTGTTTCACATCACTTATAATGACATGGATGATTAAGCAAGAGCTCACAAAGTGTATTCTACATTCATGCAAAGCCATCTGATCTCACTCAACAAGTTGTTCTTGGACGAAACACCCTTAACCCTCGAGAGGAACTTCGTTATAAACTATGAAATAACCGTACAAAAACCATTTCCAAAGAAAAGACTAAATGAAAGCATGCACAGAAAGAGCTGGAAAACGTAAAAACTTTGGGTAAGAAACAATTCCAAACACTTCTAATTTGCGACGACAGAACCCTTCATCCCTTAAGCCAACACTCCTCGAAAATACACGATGAGCTTGGAAGATATTACTTTTGATCAATCCCATTGTAAGTAATGAAAATCACATTGTTAATGCTACATTAAGATCAGCCAACATAAAACTTCAAAATTCCTTGATCTTAAGAGCTGGAATTATATAATTACAAACACAAAATTCCAGATGTCCAAAGGTTTAACTTTTAAGTGAACCCAATGCCGATGGGTTACAAATCCACAAAACATCGAAAATTAAGCCGGAAATTTCACAAACCCAGAAGCTAAATTACAACATAACAAGATAATCAGTAGCTGATGAGATAAAAACAATATACAATTAACAATCCAGAAGCTAAATTATTCATACACTTCGAAGCTAAAACACCCGTTGACCACAAAATTACATGCAAAGATATAACTTTAAGCATAAATATCAAAACCCCAGAAACCAGAAACTAAAATCCAAAATTAAAATTAAAATTAATAAAAAATATATATTCAATTGGTACCTGCTCTGTGACACGTCATAGATCTGACCCTTGATAGCCATGAGCAAAGGCTTCTTGGCATCGGAGCCGTCGTACTGCTTCAATTCGTCTTCGGTGATCTCGCCAAGCTGGACAGGAGGCGGGAGAGGCTGCATCTCCTCCATGTTCCTGTCCAGCTGACGGTGGTCGTGGGACGACCCGAACAGCCCCGACGCCACGTGGTAGACGGCCACGAGGAGAGCTAGGATAGTGAAGAAGGTCGCCGGAGAGAGGCCCGTGTAGGCCACGATCGCCTCTTTCAGTGTTTCCCACAGTTGCAGAGCCATTTTTGGGATTTTAGAGAGAGAAAGTGGGATGGGGGAGACAGAGTGAAAAGGCGATGAGATTTTTATCAGCTCGGAGTTAGAAAAAGGTTGGGCGCGGCTAAGTAACGTTATTTTGGGTTTTTTTAGTCTTAATTGGTCCCCCTGGTCCCACAACCACACCCACCAACTTAACTTTTCCTTCTTTTTTTTTTTTTTTTTTTTTTTTCTGTTTTATTCTCTTTCTTCAATTTTAATTTGTTGTTTAGGACCTTACTTCTAATTTACCCCTCTCAAGTATACTCTTAAGAATAGTTAATTACACTTTTCCCCCTGAAATTTGTGGCATGTAAATATTCGGTCTCTATGTTAAGATATTTGCAAAAGCAGCTTTAATAATCACAAATTGTTACATTATTATTATTATGGTATAGAGATGAAAATATTATATGGACACACGCTTTTGATGCACTTTTGACACATGTTCTGTGACTCATTTCATTGAGGCACATTTTAACTCGTTTCAATCATCTATTGTGAGATTTAGCTCATTTACTACCTCTTAATATAAATAATATCGTTTGTTTAAAATAAAATAAAAAACATTAAAAACAAAAATAGAGGATATGGGCCAAATTTAATGTATAGCCGCAGCCTGCAACCTAACACGTGAAAATTGAAAGAATCAATCAAGTTTGGTTTGCTATACCAGAACAAGACTCGACATTATTATATTTTTGTATATCGCATACAATATAACCCTTCTTCTTTGATTAATCAAACTGCAAGTGATTTCACCTCATCTTCTTTCCACAACCCTTCTTCGTATCTATACCACCTCACGATCCCCTCGTCGTTTCTGTTCCTCATGCACATGACGCACGACGAGTCGTCGTCCTGCATGTGCATGCATGTTATAAATCTTCGTAACCTCGAAGCCTTGTGAACAACGGATCGATCAAGCTCTTTAACAATTACAACATCCTGACCGCGCTGAGGGATTTCAGCCAAAACAAGGCAATGCGATACATTGAGAACTTGCAGGTTCTGCAGACCGTCTAGCATCGTGGTCAAAGCGTCCTTCACGAACATTGAGCATCGAAGGCTTAAAACCTTGAGGTTTGGAAGATATTTAACTAGTTCTAAAGCCAAGTTACATGTCGGATTCCTGGCGCCTATCAACTTTAGCTCACTGAAAATTTTGCAGTTGTTTGAAATCGCCTTTAAGAGGAAGAGAAACTCGGTCCATTCTATGTTCCCTATTGTCAGGGATTCAAGGTCTTTCCAACAGCCGATGGCCTTGCGGATACCATTAATCTCTATTTTGTTCCAGGATGGCATGACTAGTCGCTTCAGATTTGGGCACCTGCGATCGAATCAACACATAAAGTTAGTCATTAAGCCCCCGTTGGAGACTACTTCTTCGGAAAGTATTCATAATATAATCCGTTTTGCTATAATTAATTTTGTTAGAAACACGGTGAAGTTAGGCAGGTACTTCTCTAAAAAGTAGTTTTTGTCAATGGTCGCGATCAAAAAAGTGTTTCTTAGAAAAATCTCTCGAACAAGTTTCAAATACTTAACGTACCTTTCAGCGGTGTAGATGAAGAGATCATTGGGAACATATAACTGGAGATTAAAAATCAACGTGGTTATGTTCCTCTGGCTGAGACTTAGAGAAATCTTCAAGGCACGATTCAGTGCCATCTCGGACCGGCTGCAAACATAAACATAAGGTTTATCCAGGGTTTTGATGAAGTGTGATTTCATCGTCGACAAATCAAGTGTGTTCCAAAGCCGAGGATCACACAGCGTCGAACGCCACTTCTTGCAAACGGCACTACAGTTAACCTTTCCTTTGGCGGAAGATGAATCATCAGATTCAGAGGTGTCGTCAAAGCAGTCTAAAATCTTCCACAATATGTCAGCACTCAGGTCTTCCCATCTTCCCAAAGTCATAGGCGAGTTATCGCATGCCATTGTTCCTCGAATTTTCTTTTTCGTTTCTTGATCTTCCATTCAAGCTTTAGTCTTATAATTTCTAATTAATCAGACGGTTAAGTTGTTAATCTGTGTGTTAGCGATATTGTGGGAGCCGGGAAGTTCTTGATGTTGAGTTGTATACGGTCAATTTGTTGGTGGGGGTTAAGATACTTAAGATGTATATTATATATTTATATATAAATATATATTACATACATACATACATACATACATACATACATATATATATATATATAATATTGAACAGAAGCCTAATTCCAATTCCAACGGGAGGAGGAATTAGCTTTCCCGTAACGATATGTAATTACCAGACCTAACAGAACAGTAAACATAATAACAATAGAAGTATAGAAATAGCTTAACGCACAAGGAACAATAAGCCCACGACTGATACCAGTCATAGACTATAGGCTTGAGACTTTTTTCGTTTTTCGAACGATAATCCAAATTATAAAGGGAGGAGGATTCGATTTTCAGTGCAGAGAGGGGAGCATAGTGGTCGAGCCAATTGGGCCACGCTTATGTCTACTTAGGCTCATACTTTAGAGTAAAGAAAGAAAAGTAAGCATAGTATGTACATTAACACATATTAGTCAGAAGAAGAAAAACACACACTTCAACAAGTAGTCTTATATGTCTATGGAGAGGAGACGGAGTTTTAATCGTTGACGAGGAAATACAGCCATCAAAGGGGTAAGACGATTACAAAAGCGAGCTATAGTTTCTAACCCACACTAAAAGTTACAGTCTCATTCTCTTGCTGTAATCAACAAGCTAGAGAGCTCACCACATCTTCTTTCCTTAGCCCTTCTTCATACTAATACCACCTCACGAGTCCGTCGTCATTTTTGGTCCCTTGGCACATCATGCAAGAGTCCTGCATGCATATTAAAAATCTTCGCAACCGAGAGGCCTTCTCGAGAATAAGTGGATCGAGTTCTCTAACCAGTCTCCTAGTTGCAGAGGCGGAGGGGCTTCAATTAGAAGGCAATGTGAGATGTTGAGAACTTCTAGGTGTTTTAGGCCATCCAAGGTCGTGATCAAATCATCCTCTAAGAGCATCGAGCATGGAAAACCAAGTCATTATGTTACCCCGGCTGAGACTCAAGGAAGTCTTCAAAATACGAGTCAATGTCTTATTGGACCGGCCATCACCATAAACATAAGGCTCCAACGATATTTTGATGAAATTCGACTTCCAACATCGACAAATCAAGTTTTTTTTCCACAGAAGGGGAGCCCAGCAAGCCAAGCGCCACGCACTACAAACTTGAGCAATGCCCGATGTCAACTCAAAAATGTCGAAAGGCTGAAAAATCTTCACTAGTATGTCAGTATCCAGATCATCCCATTTTCTCACAGGGAAGCCACCGTCGTCCATTTCACCAGCTTTCCAACCACCTCCAAACAACCTTACTCCATCTCAGTTTCTTCATAAACAAGTAAAAGAAATCATCAATACTCAAAATCTATGATTCACTAAAACAAATTGCAATTCGACATTTACAATTCAAGGCGTACGAGTTCTAAAGAAGATAAGGGGCGATTTAAACAATCGCATTGAGGAATGTATTGAAGTCTCACAGTCACTGATGCAAAAGTTAGACATAGATAAATGTCGAATCAACAAACTCTTGAAACAGCAGAAGCTAATTTGAGGAAAGTTGAAGGCAAGAGACAAATAATTTGAGGAAAGTTGAAGGCAAGAGACAAACAATTGAAGCAAATTTAGCTCTCAGATGAGCTAAGACACGAATAGAGGCTATCAATGTGATGTCGTAACTAATCTAGTTGGTCTGTCCGAATAAGCAAAATAAGGTGTATAAATAGAACTTCTGTTTATACGATAAAGTAGAGGATGAAATAACAGATATAACAGAATACACATTCAAAATAATTGTAAAAGAAAAAATGTTCTCTTTTTCAATCAAACTCAGAAGACTCGTTTTCAACGAGAACATTGTTGTAATTCCATTATTAATTAAGTTATAATTCCACATTTAAAATTTGGATTTTAGATTTTGTCATTTTTTAGTCTGATTCTTATTTATGACGTAAGATTTGGTTCAAGTGTTTTTTTGCCCTTTTTTTTTTTTTCTCCTTTTTCGGGTCTGATTTGGGATCTTTGTATTTTTCTGCTAAATTTAATCCGTACATCCAAATTTTAATGGATTAAACAAATATTACTTTCTATTATATATTCATAATAACTTCCCCCAATTTCTGGTCAATTACAAAAGATGAAAGCTGGAGATGCCGGGGAATACAAACTTCTTCACTCAAAAAAATACATCTGCAGAACTGATGAGATTTGTCCTTTCAAATCCGTCCCCTTCGCATGCTGTTGCTGTATGCATGACAGATCACTTCCGGGGAGGGCTATCTATCTGGGAAATACAAGAGCATGAACGAAAATATCAGTAGTTCATGGTGTATTGTCATATAAACTAGCATATCAAAACCGAGAAATTTCATCTTTACCTGCTTACTAATTCTCTTGCAATACTTCTTGTGTGATTCAAGTTCTGAAGGCTTTTTACAGGGTCGCTGTCATCAAGTAATGTGGTTTTCAAGTTCGTAAAGAATTTCTCGTACGGGGCACCATCTATCTCCCCTAAAATCGAGCTCCATCCCGCACGCAGGCACTTGGGAGATTCCAGCATTACATCTTGCTCTTCCTGCTTTTGGTCTGTTAGCAGTGATTTTAGCAACCACTTTTTGTCATCCCTATTTCTTGTTCGGCTGCTTACTACTGCCTCCAACCTAGCAGCCATGACAGTGGCTCGTCTGATGCATGAGGAAGGTAGCTACGAAATATGGAATTCCCAACTTATATTACACAACAAAGTCATTGCGTTCCCATCAAAGGGAAAGGGAGAAATGTGCAAGATAGTGGGGAAAGAGGGCAAAGAGAGAGGAATTACCTGTGCAAGCTCTGCAACCTTAAATCCAAAACTCCTCTCTGAAACACCAGGCACAAGCTTATACAAGTAAGTGACATCTTGATTTTCGGATTGAATGCCTGTCGAACCCATATCTCTATTTGAGGTCAGATAAGAAACATGGTACGCCTCCACTAAGCCTGGGAATTCAGTTCTGATATGAGCAATTTTTGGGTAGTGCGTGACAAATAGAACCATGCATCTTTTCTGCTGTAGTAGATGATTTAATGTAGCATAAGCAATAGCCACACCATCATGTGTGCTTGTGCCTCTCCCAAGCTCATCGATGATAACCAATGAGCGTGATGTACAATTGTGAAGTATATGTGAAGCCTCGCTCAGTTCTTCAAGAAAGGTGCTTCTCCCTTGGTGGATACTGTCAGAAGCACCCATTCGAGTGAAAATGCTCTCCAGCACATGCAGTTTTGCCGATGATGCTGGAACAAAGGAACCAACCTAAAAGAATCAGAACACACTTTATAAGGCAACAGCCAAAAGAGATTCACTTATTAAGGAGAACTGAAAAGGGACTAGAGCAACTTGGTGAACATAACCAATTCCCTTGTATCGACCAACGCATATACAGTTAAATTAGTCGGAACACTGATTTTACCTGAGCCATGATAGCAATGAGAGCAACTTGGTGAACATAACCAATTCCCTTGTATCGACCAAAGCATATACAGTTAAATTAGTCGGAACACTGATTTTACCTGAGCCATGATAGCAATGAGAGCAACTTGGCGAATGTAGCAACTCTTTCCACCCATATTGGGTCCAGTAATAATCTGACAATACTCCCCGTCTGCCTCCAAATCTGTATCATTGGGAACAAAATTGTCTTGTAATATAGTCTCCAAAACCTGGTGAGAAATTACAGCTATTAAAGAGAATCCCACGACTCATGAAATATAGTAGAAGAACTGCTATACAATTTGAAATGAGCCATAAGACAGTGTGGATGAAACAATTTTATTGAAACAGCAGAGCTCTTCAATTTTAATAGCAGCAGTAATCTGATTTCTTCAGAACTTAGGCAAACCCAAGTCTCAGCCTAATCAGCGGAAGAAAGTGATTCTTCCAATAGAGAGGTGAGACCTAATGTTGTGTTGGCATGAGTGGTATATGAGCTGTAAAGTTAACTTCTAGGATTAGGAAAATTTTTAATTAGTTTTTCCTACATTCACTTACTTTCCTTTTCTTACATACCCTGTACAATTATAAATAACTCGGGAAATGGGAGAGTAAATCACAAAAAAATTCTACCCTATTCTCTGTTTTAGCATTTTCTTAACATCAATCGAACATTAAAGAACGTTTACAACTTTTTTGAAAAAGAAACATTAAGATTGCTTACATATGGTATCATACGGTATGATATAGAAGAGATTAACCCTATATGCAAATTTGAAGCAAGCAATAATATTAATACCACTTTGAGCATTCATAATAACAAGTATAAAGTGTTCTTAAACCTAATAAGAATTATATATGTACCGGATGACGACCAGAGGAGATGTGTATCTGGACCGGTTCATCATCATATACAAACACTGGACGAACATAGTTCTGCACCAATTAAGTTGACAGGATCATTTTTGTTAGAGAACATAAGATCCAAATAAGTTATGTATTGAAACAAGATATTCTAATTAAACCTTCAGTGGATACCTTATTTCTTGAAAGGACAGCAAGTGAATGAAGACAGTCTAAACTGGCTAGTGCTTGAACAGCAGCTTGGAACTCGGCATAATATTTACCAAAACCACTTAGAAAGCTATCCCAAGCAGCACGACAAACAACAGTGAGTTGCTCACTTGCAAGGGCTAGATGGTCTAAAGCAGTCAGGACATCAGGTGGGTGATACCGGACTGTCTTTTTGGTACTATTAATCTTAACCCAATTTGAGGGCACCTTTACATCTAAGGGCAACTGCAAGTAATAAAACATTAAATAAGATATCCAGCATATATAACTTGCACCAGGAGTGTCTATATACATAAGAATATTCCCAAATGAACTTTAACTCAGTACTTCTATCAAGTGTGTTGTTCCAGACACGCTAAGGAATTCCAACTTGCGCATTCCAAGCTGTTTCCGGTACAAACTGATGAGAGAATCCAATTTCTCATTTGCCAATTGAACCTCCTTCCTTGCTTTAGCAACCTAATTAATTTTGACAATGTAGGATGAGAATAAATAAGAAAGCAGCATAAAGTACCCAAAAAATATATGTGATTCAGTATGCGAAACTCATAGTACAAACCTCAGGAAATTGGCCATCAGAGACGATTAGGTTTAGTAGATCCTGTTTGTCAGCTGCTTCCTTGTTGAGGGCAGACAACAATTTTGCAGCTTTTCCAACTACAGTGGACGATGAAGCAGTCAATATCAACTTCCTCAACAACTCAGAGCGTACACTTTTTCCCATCTTATTTCCTTTGCTTCCCTCTTCTTTAATTTGAAGTTGTTGAAGTTGTTTTCCAGCATATAAAATAGCTTGAATAACTGCAATGAACTGAACATACCCCTTGATGAGATACTGAACAAGATAAGTACGGCAAAATACATAGTCGCACCAAGCACTAAGCACCAAATGCAACCAAATTTGACCCAGACAATAACAAATTAATGATTTACAAAACATACAGCCATTCAAAATAGTAGGTTGGAGGAGAAGTCGGCATCACCTCAGGTGGAGTGGCAGTCCGATGAAAGATTCTTGTTATCCCACGTTGAATATCAGGTGACCGTCCCAAAGTCGTCAGAACTGAAGAAAGTATATAAGTCAGCTCTGGGTTCAAATTTGTTGCAAACGAATCTTCCACATCTAGCTGTTCAATATTGTGAGGAGATATAGAAGACCCCATAGATTCTGCAATCTCAGAAACAGCATCTAGACGGGCAGAAATCATGGTTCGATCACATAAAGGGTGACATACCTGTACCATTCAAAGGAACTATTAGCTACTGGAAAATGAATATATTACATCTCAAGAGAATGCCGCTCATACCCAGTGTCTAAGAAGCCTTGAACCAAATATGGTAAGAGTATGATTCATAGACTGCAGCAAGGAGCCAGACTCGGATCCATCAGCGTTGTTCTTCAATACCTAAAGACATTGGAGTGTTTACCTAGAGTCAAAACTTGGGTATAAACAAGAAAGTTTTAAAAGGTGACTGTTGTAGATATCAGCACATAGGACAGGCATAATATCTATCATGAATCCATGATTAAAGTATTAATATTATTCAAGAGTAAGGTAACTGTTAGGTTGATATTTGACGTATATTTTGTACCTCCTTTACCTATTAAATTAGCCTTGGTTTTATATAAAATAGTTGGATTTGACGTGTTTTTGAATTTTGTAGAAATCATAGTTCAGAGATAAATGTACATTTTCGAGAAGAATTACAAGGAAAGCACGAAGGAAGAGCGAAGTAGGTTGCTGCTATGCGTGATTTGAGATGGGCTGGAGTCCGGAAGATGGACCCGTGAAAAATTTGATGATTTGGGCTCTTATATAAGTCCAGCCAAATTAGTGGGATTTTCCTAATTTCAAATGGACCGTTGCTTTAAGTTCCTACAAGGACTTGATTTCCTTGTTGCATGTTATAATCGTTGAAAAGTTTCACTATGCCAACCAAGTATGCAGCATTTAATACTTTCCCTGCCGACACTTAGTCATCATGGTACAAGCAATCTTCCTCCTTTGCACAAATTTTGATCAATCATAGATATGTCATATGACCACTAAAATACTAGTGGAAAATGAACACACAACACAGAATTACCAATTCCGACACAGAAACGTTGGTTATGGCAATAGAGCCTGAAAACCTGAACCAACTATCCATAGCTAGGTATAAGTATTGAAGTAAACTGCATCACGTTTTAAGAAAATGCATTCTTGTCAGCTATTCTAATATCAACCCTAGAATTGAGTGGAAATATAAGAGCCGTGGGGATTAATTCCTTAAAGCAAATTTCTTTGAGCACAACCCAAAAACAGAGTCAGATACCTCCAATTGCTGAAGTGCATTGGCCGAGAGAGTCATCTCCATGCTGCTTGAGAGGGGCCTAAAAGAAGCTCCTAGGTGCAGGATCCTTTCCAAACCAAATTGTTTCAGATGATGAATAGTCAGGGCCAATGCTTGGACTGCCATATTTGGCATGTTCATGATTCCCTTTAGAACAAAATCAAAAGAAAATAGAGTTAAAAAAGAAAAATGAATGACAAGAAACAAAAATTTGGGTCTTAATGACGATAAAATATCACAAATATCGTACCTCAATTCCCAAGTGCTTATTACTCTGTGCTTTCACATCTGTATTTATCTTTGGATGATCTGTTAAATCACCACCCTCCATGTTTTCATATAAAGACATTACTTCAGTGAAAGCACCACTGTCCTTGAAGCAATCTCGTGAGACACGCTCCACGCGGACATTTGAAGCTGGTCCAGAAAAAGCAAGTAACATCTAGTGACAAGAATCAAGCAGTAACATCAGCCGAACTTCGTAATGCAAGCTGGAAACTTCCTTCAAATGCTTGAAATCTTGGATTACCATTCTAAATTCGACGGTTTTCACCTAACTCTAACTTGATTGGGATGATCATGCTTCCAAGTTACAAACTAACATCATTTTTCAGGAACTAAATAACTTAATTCTCTAACAAGAATCGTAATATTCAAAAACGCCTACATAGAAAATACCTTCTCTGTTTGTTTGGAGAGCGGCTCCCCAAGAAGCAACTCAGCAGGCGACAAGCTCAAAACCACAGCCTCAAGCCCACTCCTCATAAAATTATCATCAAACTCTCCATAGACAACGTCACCCGTCGAAACCTCCACTGCCACAATTCCAATTTTCACTTCCACACCGCTCTCAACTCCACCATCCACATTTTCCACTGAAACGCTCTTGTCCACAACACAAGCCAAATAATTACTATCCCCACCACAGCCCTCCTCTTTTCCCCCCACATCCTCCGCCGCCTCCAGAGTCGCCTTCGTGTATAATGCCGACAATCCACGGTCAAATGGACCAGCCCGGTTCGACCCATGTGCCTTAATGGCGGCGGTTTCGGTCTGCTTCACCACGCCGACCTTATACCCGGCACTCACCAGCCTCCTGACGTGGACATTCAGCCGGAAAGTTGGGACGCTTGCGGTCAAGAAATTGTGATCCATGTGGGCATAAATCCCCAAAACCCTTGCAGCAATTTCTGCGTCTTCGCCGAAAAACCGGTACTTGTAACCGACTTCCACCATCAGAAGAACATCCGGATGGCGCTTCTTCAATTCCACCACCTGCTGCTCCAAAGGCGTGAACTTGGCGGGTTGGTTGGAGGAAGGGGGAGGTTCTGGAACGTCGGAGGCGGGTTCTAGAAGCTTCTGGAGGAATTTTTGGTGGAGGGAGTGATTGGGTGCGGCGGGTATGGGGTTGTGGGTGTGAGGAGAGAGTTTGGGGAGTTTGGCTGGTTTGGGAGAGGAAGAGACGGCGAGCTGGGAGGAGAGGAGGGCGCGTTTGGCGGGAGAGAAGGCGACTGTGGCTGTGATTTTGGGAGGTGGGGTGGATGGGTCTTTAGGGTTTGACGGCGGCGATAAGGGAGAAAATGAGGAGGAGGAAGGAGATGAGGGGTCTGGGGTTTTGGGTTTGGGAGCGAAGAAGCGGGAAATAACTTGTTGCTTTTGCTTTCCCATGGCGGAGGAAGTGGAAACGCTGACGGTGGTTTGGGACTGAGGAGTGTGAGGATGAGTCTGCTGTATAAACGGGTGGTTTGATTTGGCGCGCTCCGCTCACTCGGGTCGTATTAGATTGTCACACGGCATGTCGTTTATTCACACACACCATTTTCTCCTGTTGGCAAGCAACACCATGCATGTCACTACCGGATTTGGATCTTCTCCTGAGCTAATGGAGAGGATACTTCTGATCAATCATCGTGGATCGTTGGATTTTTATCCAACAACTACAATCATTATAACTTTAAGGGGACCCCTTGTTTGTAGCCGTTGGATAAAAATCTAACGGTCTACGATGATCGGTCAGGAAGATCCTCTCCATTAGCTCAGGAGAGGATCCAAATCCGTCACTACCAAGTATTAAATAGTGACTTTGTCTTTTCAATTTTGATTAATTGTTTTGGGAGAAAAAAGTTGCGCGAAAATCATTCAGCTCCTTATGTTAATTGTCGTGTAGATTTTCATTGACAAATATATCAATAATATATCAACTTTATGTGGTCGAAACATCAATAGTATTAATAATATGGATTATATGTAGATAGTGATAACGTGTTGATATTAAATGTTCATACAAACTAGCTGTTAGGTGATAGATCTAGTTTTTTCTATAATATTTAAGGTGTGATGCATTTTTCAAAACTACTTTTGATATTAAAATCAATTAAGATCTCTCTCTCTCTCTCTCTCTCTCTCTCACACGTAGTTTCATAGTTGTGTTATGAGCTTAATAGAGGTAGAGAAAGTATGGCAAAAGCACGAGGGGAAGGAAGGAAGGAAGGGGATGATAAAAGGCATTGCTTAAACCACGTAATGCAGAGGGGGACAAAGAGACTCTGTGTCCACGGTATCTCCCATACATAAAATTGAGGCACAAAAATGACCAACGATCCTTCTAAAGTCCAAAGACCCTCTGGCCTCTTCCTTCTCTTCTGCACCTTTCCCATGAATCTTATTTTATATATTCATTCATTTGCATTAAATATACACCCCTACTCCTACTGTTTATCTCTCATAAAATTGATAAAAATTATTTCATAGAATAGTATAAGTCTGAATCAAATTGTTGGTTTCTAGTTTAGAATTCAGATAATCCGAGAGTAATGGCGGTCTAGAATATATACATTTGACTCTACTTAATAAAATAAAGCTTGATTGTAACATTATTGTTATTTTATGTTTTAGAATTCAGATTTTGAAATTCCATAAACCCGTTTTCTTTCGGTTGTATACCTGTGATTTGAGCCAAAAAAGAACAAATAGAACCCTAAAATGCCGAAGGTAAATACTAGTCATATTTACACATGACCGGTTGATCTAGCTGACAAGAAAAATCCATAAAAAAGGCAAAGATAAAGTAGTAGATAAATCTATGAATTATTATATATATGCAATGATTTGATGGTGGTTTTGTATAAAATCAATACAAAATTACCATATTGACAATAGATCAACAATATTTATATTAATTATAAATAGGTTAATTATGTATTATGACATTTAAATACATTTAAAATAAACAAAAATTACATAATCTACCATTACAGCTGACACCCACTTCAACTAACAGCCCATTTCTCATATTTTTCGTATTTTGGAATAGGTTAATACGGGTTAGATACTGCAACGCAGTGTCTGTTTCATGATTCTATTTTTTACACTTGGATTCAGGCGCTGCATTACAGTGTCAGTTCCCTGGTTTCCTTTCTTTTTCATCACTCACACACCTTATGTGCTTCATTCTTTTAGCAACTATTTATTTTTACGTTTAGATTTCCCTATTCTTTTTTTCTTTTTCTTTTTCTTTTTCTTTTTTTCACATTCTAATTCAAAAACTACAACACAATGTATGTTTCCTTTTTTTTTTTTTTTTTCCTTTTTACATTTGGATTCAGACATTGCAATGTGATGTCCGTTTCCTTTTATTTATTTATTTATTTTACATTTTGATTCAGAAACTACAATGCAATGTCTGTTTCCCTTTTATTTTTTACATTTTGATTTAGACATTGCAATACAATGTCTGTTTCCTGGTTCTGTTTTTACATTTCTATTCAGACGCTGCATTGCGTGTGTCCGTTTCCTGGTTTTCTTCTTCTTCCGGTCATCATTTTCACATTTCATGGAGTCTCTCTTGACCCATAAAATTACTTCTTTAAAAAAAAAAAAAACCTATAAATTTCATATCATAGAACAAAAGGATATAGTAACCCATCAAATTAATCAAACACACAAAAAGATTTCAAACCCAAAGGAAGAAAACTTCAAAACCCATAAAATTCAACCCCAAATTCATCGGACACATATCCTCATCACGGCTTTACCCGTTTTGGGCTCAACGAGAAGGCTTTTGTCGGTGAAAGATGTCGGCAACAAGGTGTATGTATTGAAATCAGACCCTCTGATTTCGGGTCTTTTTCTACTGCAGGTGGTGGCGGTGATGTGGCGTCGTTGAAGAGTCCCACCAAGAACAAGTTGCTAGATGGGAGCGGGAGAAGGCTGAGAGAGATCGACGTGGTGTCCTGTCGGAGGAAGACGGAAATTGAGAGTTCATGTGTGTAAAAGGTAAAAATTAATGTGTGGATAGCACCACCCTATACTATTCTATAGATACACACACAACAGTTAGTTGGGAATATAATGGCATTGTAGTAATTTGAGAAGACATGAAGAATTGATTCTACGCGAAACAAGTTGGCATGTTGACAACAAGACGAAGATAGAAAAGCGAAATTATCCACATCCTCTTCACTAGGTATATGGTTATGGCAGCCTAAAATTAAACATCCCTACCACCACTCCGATTGATATGAATGGAAAATGAACAACTTCTCCTCAGGATTCCATTTCCCAGCCCAAAAAAGAATTTCAGAAGAAGAAAGAGAAAGCACAGAGGAAGATAAACTACAAGAAGAAGAAGGAAAAGGATCAGAGTTCAACAATTGTGACTGGGATTTCAGTCTCTCAACAGTTGTGTCCTCCACCGCCTGCCGCGGCGCCGCGTCCAACACCCTTGGCGTAATCGAGTTCGACCCATCAAACACCGTCTTAGCCACCGGCGGAATCGCCAGAAAAATAAGAGGTTACAGCTTGAAATCTCTCTTACCCAATTATGATAATCAAATCTGTGGAAGTTCTAGTAGTATGGTGGATTTGATAGACCACGTCGATGCATGCGACTACACCATTTGTACTCCAGCCAAGCTCAGCAGCCTCCGCTGGCGCCCCGGATCCGACGGCCGGGTCCTGGCCTCCGGCGACTATGATGGCGTCGTCACGGAATACGACCTCGAAACAAAACTACCCATCTTCGAGCGCGACGAGCACGGCGGGCGCAGGGTCTGGAGCGTGGATTATTCGCATTCCAATCCGGTTCTCGGAGCGTCTGCCTCCGACGACGGGACCCTCCAGCTATGGGACCCGCGCCACGAGGGCGGGAATTGCGTGGCCAGTGTGCAGCCCAGCGACGCGCGAAATCCGGTCTGCTGCGTGGAGTTTGATCCCTTCGGCGGGGAGCTTCTGGCCGTTGGATGCGCGGACCGGAAGGCCTACGGCTACGATGTTCGGAAAATGGCGAGCCCGGTATTGGTCTTCGACGGACACAGGAAAACCGTGACGTACGTGCGGTTTCTTGACGGGCGTACGGTGGTAACAGCTGGCACGGATGGGTGTTTGAAGCTGTGGGACACGGAGGATTCGCGGGCGATTCGGACGTACAAGGGGCACGCCAACTGTCGGAGCTTTGTGGGGTTATCGGTGTGGAGAAATGGAGGGCTAATCGGGTGCGGGTCGGAAAATAACCGGGTTTTCGTGTACGATAAGAGGTGGGGCGAGCCCATTTGGGTGCACGGGTTTGGGGAGGTGGGTGCAGGTGGTAGTAATCGCGGCGGGTGCGGTGAGGACTTGGGCGCGTTTGTAAGTAGCGTGTGCTGGCGGCAAGTTGGTGAGGAGCAGTGCACGCTCGTGGCGGGTGGGTCGGACGGGGTTTTGCAGGTCTTTTTGGGAAGGAAGAAGTCCAATCTTGTCGGATAATTATAACTTGATGAAAATTCAATTACTTTACACTATGTTTGGATGAAGAAATTTAAGACTACCAAGGAATTTTAAATGACAGAAATTGAATTGACGGGATTTTATTTTCTAGAATTTGTGAATTTTCATGTTTGGTTAGCCTAAAAGAACAATGGAATTGAATACGAAAATTTTTATTTTTAAGCTCTTAATCATAGAAATTGGGCAATGACACCTATGTACATGGAATTTAAACTTGGGAATTGGAGATCCCAAATTTCAAGTTTTTTTTCACGAGGAAATTCTAAATTTCTATGTTTATGAATCTAAACAATAGAATTCATGCATGTCAATTTACAAATTCTGACTTTTATTCAAATTCCAAGTCTATTTCCCTCATCCAAACATAGTGTTAAGGAATTGTTATTGGCACTTCAAATTTCTCATTCTACACTCTAAATTTTTAGAAAGAAAAATATATTTCTAAGAAGTGTAGAATGAAATTTTTGGAGTGCCAATAACACTTCTCTTAATTTATTATTATCGTTGGATAAAATTTATATAGATTATGTAAGATAAAAATATGTATTAGATGTCATTTTGTTATTAGAAATGCCAGTCTTATTATCTAATTATATCATCATTTGTACCATCTGGCGAGCTCTATCTCTAATAGATAGATGATACAAGTGATGCTATAATTAGATGATAAGTGTAGCACTACTCTTTTGTTATTGTTATGTTTGTATTAAATTAAATTTCTAACTTGCAAATATATTCATGCAACGTATTCTATCTGTTCATCGTATATCGTGCGGTCAGCTTTCGTTAAAACTATTTTTTTTTTTTAAATAAAAGAATTTAAATATTTTTTTGGCCACACGATGTACGATGGACGGATAGGATTTGAGATTCCCAAAGAGGAATCATACGAGATCCAAATCCCTATATATTATGATCTTTTATGAGTTTTTCTTCTTCTTTTCCGACCAATGGATAACGAGAGATTTTACAATGTACCGGGAACACGGCTCAATATACCAAATGTCATAACATAAGTGACTTGATATTTTTTTTCAAGTATCCAACCACTTCTATCATAACACTTTATATACCGGCCATATTCTCAGCACACTAAAAATTTTGTCATGCATAACATGCATGTTGGGCGTTCATTGCATGGCACTACTAAATTTTGTGTATTTTTGTTAAGTAATATATCATAATCGTAGTTGTTCAAGTATAAAATAAACAACACTTCTTAATAATGACATTTAGTAAAAATTAGATACATGACGTGTTAGTCACACATGATATATCTGATATACAAATAATATTCATACTTTGCATCTCTATTCTTGGTAAGTAAACATGCATGTCATAAATTGCATAAAGTGAAACTTAAATTTAGATATACAGGGGGCGTATTGACATAACCAACTAGACTACAGGGCCGGCCTTGAGGGGGTGCGAGAAGTACGACCGCACAGGGCCCCCGATTTTCTAGGGCCCCCAAATTCTAAAATCCTTCTTAATAGTGTATATATGAAAAAGCTAGGAAATAGGTTATAGATCTGTACCTAGCATGGTTGTCAAGCGTTGGTACCTTAATGTGGTTGTGCACAGGTTCAACTCCTTACTTTGTCATATTTGTTATTTTTGATATATTTTTTTTCAGCCATGTGTTCTTTCATATAGGGCATGTGAGGGGTAACTATTTTGGGATTTTTGAGCTACACTATTATTTTCTATTTTTAAATATTTGTAGTTTAATTTCTTTCATGATACAAGATAATTTTGCCAATAAATTTGTAGTTAGGAATATCATAATAAATTAAAATTCTTAAATTTGATATAATTTTTTTAAAAGCCCCCATTCCTTATATGATATCATTTAATAGAATACATTTCATAATTAGAATCGTTTATTCTTTTGGTCACCGTTTAAAAGTCAATCTATTTTTCATTCCATTTGAAGACTATTGAGTCATCCATATCAAAAAGAAAATTATAGTACAACTACACCTATATTGTTAGATTAAGTTGGTTTAATTGTTTAAGACATGAATCTCAAAATTTTAACTAATCTAATGGCAATCAACGGGAGAGGGGGAGTGAGAATCATCCTCACTTTAGGGCGTGATGAAAAATGCAATGAAAAACGTTCATTATAAGATGCTACTAACATCATAACGTGTGATTTGTTTAACACATAAATTTTTCTTGAGATGAACTCTAGATGATAAGAAGAGCATGAATGGTTTTGATTATGGTATTTGTACGGTGATATGATAGATACATAGTCATATTACCATGATTTTTGTATTTAAAAAGTAGGAGATTCTAACCAAAAACATAGAGAACGCATATGGGTACATGACTACCACACTATGCTTCATTTTTATTTATTTATTTTATTTTGCATTATATCAATTTACTCACAATAAAAAATATAAAATATAAAAGAAAATATAGCAACCAAAAATTTAGACCATGCAAAGGCCCCTGTTTGAGTCTCGCACAGACCCTCCAAAATCTTAGGACCGGGCCTGCTACACTATGACTATATTTGTAGCTTCTTGGAGAAAAAACTAGATTATACCTTATCCATAAACTGGCATTTTGCAGCGACTGTGCAGAGCAACTTGGAATTGGATCGATATTGTCTATAAAAGGGTTCGTGTCTTGTAGAGAGCAGGAGATGGCTCACTTGGTGTTTGCGTGGAAAGTTCAAGACCGTTGCATCTTGCATGTTTTCCTTTGCCAATGCCAACCGGATAGAAGATCGATAGAGCAAGAACAAATGATCTATGTTTGGTTACAAATTATTAATTATTCTCATTGGATCTTGTTATATAGAGTTTTGATCATTAGGGAGTACTTGTTTACATGTATATGTGTCTATTGTTATCAAAATCTTGCTTTCAAATTTCGGTTTTCGTCATTTTTATCATGTTTTGCGAAAAGTAATTGCGTTTAAATCCTTTATATCTAACACCGCATTAAGAGTCTATTTGGAATTACTTCTAACAAATTAAAAAAATAAAAAATAACAACCTAAAGTGTTTATAATTGGTTTAGAAATAAAAACTTAAAAGTATCTACGAATTATAAAAGCTATTTGTGAGAAAGACTTGAAAAAACACTTCCAAATACTTATAGCAAAAAGCAACGGGTTTTTAATCAAAATGGTCTATGTGATTAGCATAATTCTTCACTTTAACATCTAACTTGAAAATCCATAGAAGTGATCCCAGAGGTCGTCCATCGTAAATCATTTTAGTAATCCATGAAAAATTGGTTCATATCCTCGTTGAACGAAAGAGTTGGTCTGACAAAAATACCCTTAAAGGTGGTAACGTGGTCGTTCACGTGACAATTTAACGAGGGTATTGAAAGATTTTTCACGAAGCAACTATAATAATTTACAGTAGATAAAATCAGGGACCACCTCTATCGATTTTCATTACTAAGGACCAAAGTGAAAAATTATGTCAATCTCAAGAATTATTTTCACTAAAAAGTAAAAAACAAACGGTCTAACTTTTTAACTGTTGTCACTTAGTACCACGGTTTAGTGATATTCCTTTTTACTTGTAAGTGAAAGATCTTAGATTCGATTATTGCTAAAAGAGAATTTGCACAGTGGCATTCCACCTAAAATTTTGATATCAAATCATAAAGTCTTCAAATCCAATGGCAAATAACACTTTGGCTCGAGAAACTTTTGACGTTAACTATACACAGTAACATTCAACGTAAAATTTTATTTCTTTTACAGACGCTCTAAAGGGGCCAAAGGCACAACTAAATCTAGGACCGTCAGATTTCAGTCAATGTACACATAGAGGACTTTACATCAAATCCAACGGTAGGAAACGAGTCTACGAATGAATTTCACAGGTTCTAGATTGTCGAACGTGAGTACAAGTGTAGAACTAGAATCCTCCTTGTCAATTTCGAACTAAACTAAACCCTCGGTGCCTGGGTTTTGAATCTCGCCTCGTCTCCGCTCTCTCCCACCTCCATTTCTTCCGATCATTCGCCCTCGAAATTAAAATCCGGTTGGGATTTTCAGACAGAGAGAGAATTTGAGAGAGAAGGAGTAGAGAGAGAAATGGTGATGTCGGCGGTGGTGAACACGTACCCGCTGTCGAGCTACACGTTCGGGACCAAAGAGCCGAAGATGGAGAAGGACACTTCCGTCGCCGATCGCCTTGCCCGCATGAAAGTCAAGTAATTTTCCCACCTTTTTTTATTTTCATTTTCCCTCTTTTGATTGATTCCAATATTTTTTAGATTTTAGTCCTTTTGAAGGTTTTTTGACTTCTGAAACCCTAATTTTTGAATCTGTAGTTACATGAAAGAGGGAATGCGGACCAGCGTCGAAGCGATTTTACTGGTATGTTCTTTGAATCAATAGCCCCTCCTCTGCACATAATTTACTGTTTCTTTTGGTGGGCAAAGCTCATGATCTCCTTGTATGCGTGAAATATTTAGGAAAAATAAAGAACCATTATTTTAGTACCATAATATGCCCTTACACTCCTTTTTAATTTATTTTTTGGATGATTAACTATATTAGACACAAATCTTGGTAGCATGCTCATCAGAAATTAACAAAAGGGGATTTTTTGAGCTGAATGGCTCGTGGCATAATTAAATGAGGAATTCCGGTTTTACCTATGGCACTGGTTCTTTAGTTTTCGCCTTTGGGAATTCCTGACTTGTTTCTTTCATGGTTTCTGATAAGAGGCTCCGCAAACACTTTGCATTGTATGTTAGATGTCCTTTTAGCTTGACTAATCCATGTTATGTTTTCGCGTTTTGGTCCTCTCATCTTCAACGTTCTACAAGCCCCTAATTCAAGTTTTCATAATTGCCAATTGTATCGCTGTTGAACATGGAATTGATAAAGTGAAGTGTCTTGACACTTGCATTCTTTCTCTGGGCTCAACGCACGTCTTTGCTTTGCAGGTACAGGAACATAATCATCCCCACATACTTCTCCTGCAGATTGGAAACACATTCTGCAAACTTCCTGGTGGACGACTGAAGCCAGGGGAGAATGGTACGAACTTATCTTGTATTCCATCCTTTTCATGGTGCATCCATTTTTTACCTGAGTTGATATTATTGAAGACTGACCCCTTTTGTTTTCTTTTCTCTGTGGTTGTGCCGTGGTGGGTCTCTTTATGCTACAGAAATTGAGGGGTTGAAAAGAAAGCTGACCAGCAAGCTTGGTGCTAATTCACCTGCCCTTGTGCCAGATTGGCAGGTACGACTCTCTGATTTACCATCTCTCTGACTGTAGGTCTAAGAGAAATGATGTTAGAAACTTATAGGACTATAGGAAAACAAATGAGAAAATAACTTGGAAGTCAGTTGACTGCAAGTGTGAAAATGTAATGAAGATGAATGGACATTCAAGGCAACCAAAAAACGCGGTATAACTAGACGCATTGGCCTTTTATAGGTGCTTCCTTAGTGTTCTATTTCATAAAAAGTGACATTGGTTTATGAGAACTTGTAGCATGTCAAGTTCACAATGTCATTGCTCATTTTACTTACCTTTTTCCCTGGTTGCAGATAGGAGAGTGCGTGGCTATCTGGTGGAGGCCAAACTTTGAAACCATAATGTACCCATATTGCCCTCCTCACATAACAAAACCCAAGGTAAATTACTGTCAAAACAAATCCTGGACTATTTCTGTTGATGACTTCTTTGGGCTGCATATAATCATATCCCTTCCTCTCATTCCCACACTAATTTTTTATTGACCCAATTTTAATGCAGGAGTGTAAGAAGCTTTTCCTTGTTCACTTATCTGAGAGGGAGTACTTTGCTGTCCCCAAAAACCTAAAACTTCTTGCTGTTCCATTGTTTGAGCTCTATGATAACGTTCAGGTATCATGATCATATGGTCATATGGAGTTCTTCTGCTCTCCTACTTAACATTGGAATTTAGATTGTGTTTGTTGAATTCTAAGCCTTAAAAACAATTGCTGCATCGGAATATTTTCAGGATGATGATTCATAAGTGTTATACAATTACTTCATTATGATTTCCGATGATTACCCATCTCTTAGTTTTGTAATGAAAAAACTTAAACCTTTTGTTCCTTTCATTAAGTTCATCCTTTTTCTAAATATTATCTTAAAACTTTCTGTAAACTCATGATGTCTCGTAATTGCAGAGATATGGGCCTGTTATATCTACAATCCCACAGCAGCTTTCCAGATTCCAGTTTAACATGATCAGTTCATGAAGAGAGGAATTTTGAAGTTGCTGTGATATCACTATCCAGTATACCGAAGATCACATCTTGATATCATTGCGTGGATAGCTAGAACTCAAGACCGGATATTATTTTTATAACCGAACTTAAGTTGGTTAGTGTGAGATCCGTCAGTTTATACAGATGACCGAAGCATATCTTGTGGTACGATTTGTCCATCTATATTTGGTTAGTGATTGTCTTTGCTAATGCATTTTACATTACTCTTGAAACTTTGTCTGAACAGTGGTTATGTTGTGCAAGTTCTTGTTTCTTAGCAAGAAGGTATGTCGGTTACTTTAGACACGGGAGTGATACAATGTTGTCTCAGTTCTGTTTTCCGATTCTTAAAATTTGAGATTTTGTACGCTAACTTGTTCTTTTGTGTAACAATGGGTAGGAGGAGATGTATGTGCTTACTTCTTAGAATGTACCTAACAATTATCTTAACTTCGTGTAATGGTGGGTAGGCGATGGATGCATTCCCTTGGGATTCGTATCGGTTTTATTCTGTTGGAGCCTTGTGGCATGTAATCACCCTTGTAGCATGTAAACATCCCTGTAGAATTCGTCTTGGATCAGTAAAATTCTTCCCTTTTTTGTTCGAGAAGTGTATTTTTTTCTTTATATTACGAAATGCTGCATGGTGCTCTTGGTTCCCCTGGTCTGTGTGATAGGAAAATATTGCCGAGATCCAATTGATCACAATGTTTGGGGGCAAAATGAGTGAATTGCTATTCCTTTTGAGGCTCACATTGGTTTGAAGTGGATCTAATTTGTCCTACTTTCTCTTCTCCATCATTTTTATTAAGAGGTTTTCGTTCTCGGGGTCCAGGGTTCCGTTAGAAGCATAAACATGACTACGTCCTGTGTTCTTCCAAATCTTCTTTTCTTCCATTTTCTCTCTTGCACTTTGAGCCTCTGGCCATTGCCCCACCGCGGCATGCGTGCTAGACAAAAGGACATAAACCCCGGATTCGCTTGTTTCCAAGTCAGTAGCCTTCTGTATCACTTCCTCTGCCAACTTAAGGTGATTTTTTTCTCTGCAACCCCCAAGCAAGGATCCCCATATGGCAATGTCGGGCTTATTCGGCATTTCCTTCACCAGACGTAGTGCTTCCTCCACCGGACCGTTTTGGCTCAGCAAATCGATTAGGCAACCAAAATGCTCAAGCTTTGGCACAATCCCAAATTCTTTCTCCATAGCATTGAAGATTCTTCACCCTCTTCTACCAAGCCTCCATGGCTACAAGCGAAGAGAGCAGCTGTGAACGTGAAGTCGTTCAGCTTCAACCCTTCCTTTAGCATCAATGAGAATAGCTTGACGGCATCTTCCGCTCTTCCGTGGATAGCAACCGATCTAATCATAACATTCCAACAAAATACATCCCTCTTTCCTATCTTGGTAAAAAGAGCAAAAGCTCTGTTTATGTCCCCGCACTTCGCATACATACATGTCGATTAGGGCAGGCCCCAAAATGGTTCCGAAAAGAAACCAATCCTCTATAAGCTCTGTGTGTCCATTTTCCAAACTCTAGGTCCCCCGAGTGGGAACAAGCTGACAGGACAGAAACAAATGTATATCCATCCGGAACCACACCTTCCGACAGCATTTGCACAAAAGCATCCAATGCTTTTTCATACTGTCCATGCTGGGTGTAACTTGATATCATGTTGTTCCAAGAAACCACATTCTTGCATGGCGTTGTCTTGAAAAAATTTCTTGCCGTTATAAGGTCTCCGGCATTGGCATAGACTCCAATCATCAATGTCCACGAGACGATATCCTTCTTCGGCATCCTCTCAAACAAATCTCTTGCGTTACTCATATCCCTAACTTTGGCATAACCTGAAATCATAGAATTCCATGAAACAACGTCCTTCTCAGGCATTTCATCAAACGACTTTCTCGCACTCTGAACATCACTAACTCGTGTAACGCGAAATCATGCGGTTTGACAATTCTATAGGATTCACACACATATCATCGAACACCTTGCTGGCATCATTCGAAGTCCTATAATTTATAACGCCAGAGTCGCAGTAATCCAGCATCTTAACATACATATTGAAAACCGCATTAGCAACCGCTGGATTTGACTCGAACCCATGCTTTACAATATGGCAATGCACTTGTTTTCCTTATCCGTACCAACCCAATTTAGTGCAGGAGTTCAAGACACACGGGTAGGTGATCAAACCTCTCAGAGGCATTTCATCAAACACTGAGACGCATTGCTCGAAGGGCCCATTGATATCGTACCCTCTGATCATGGCATTCTGAATCACAACATCGTTACTGAGTTCATGACCCAGTTGGGAAAATATGAGATTGGGATACTCCATGGATCCGAACTCGGTGCTCCGCCGGAGAAATTTTGAGAAAATTTGGATGTTTTGGTTGAGAGGGGCTGTTTGAACGCGCATTGTGGCAATAGTTTTGAGAGAGTGAAGTCTAAGGAATAAGCCATGGATTGCATTTCTGGTAACACCTCGCATACTAATTCACTAGCTCTTTTTCTTTTGTATGTACTTTTAATTCCTTTTTGCTTCTTTGTTTGGGTTCAAATAAAAGAACAGCAGCAAGACCCTGGTCAAGCAAATTTAATAACGAACACAGCTTTGCCAAGCAAATTTACAGCTTGGCTTAAGCTAAAAGGAGTCGATTTTGCAAAATTAGAGCTCCAAAGACAACGATTAGGGACCATGCACAAAACATTAGTAGACTGGTCAGCTTAATGTTGGCAACATCGACACTTAATGTTGGTGACCTAACAGTTAATTATTTAAAATGTTAGGTAGTTATTTTGAATGTTTTAAAAAGTTGAGACTAGTGCTAATAAATTAATATGAGATAAACTACGGGTAATAAATTGGATTACCGATCGTAATGTGAAATCCACAATTTTTTTTTTTTCATTCTACGTATATATTCTAATGGATAGAATGTTGAGTTTTCACCTATGCGTACCGGGTTCAAAACTCTGTTAGTAGAATCCATAGTCTTTCGTCCTATTGTTTCCGTTGGTAATTGTTCTTTTTTTTCTTTTTTTTTCCTTATATCCTTTATCCTTTTGTTTGATCACATTGGTTATTGTTAACCAAAACAAATCTTAGCAAATCTATTTGATTGACTATGTAATTCTAAAGATTTTAATTAAAAGATCAAGAGTAGTATTAACTATTGTAAAGAGACAAATATGCCCCCAAGCCAAGGGTGCATCATTTCCATGTGGCCTTAAAACAAAGTTTAGGAGTTGGTCAATGATTAGTGTGTCATATCCTGTTGTCTTATATTGTGTTTGCCTCTGAAGAATAATAAGTTGTCTAAGCAACCAACAAACTTATTTAATGTGGAAAGTAAGCAGAAGGGTAAGCATTGAGCAACCTGGAACCAATTGATTTGTAACAATTTACACTTAATTAGTAGATCAAATGCTGTCTTAATCTCTGTCCTTTTCGCTTGTTCTAAAAGAACACTGTAAATTAAGAGGAATTAGGGTTTTGTTTCATATGTTGAAGGGTATAGGTGCTCCATCACTGAATATACGAGCCCTCTTTCCATTTGAGATTTTTTACGTTTAAGGGTAGATGCACTCTTAACACTATGTAAAGAGGAATTACAGTTCGTTTCTTTGTTTCGATCGGGCCTCCATGCTTGAGAGTCTGATTATAGACAACCTATTTTCTCTAACATGGAAGAACCAGGAAAAGAAGCTTGCATCAATTGTGTATATGAAGCTGCAGATTGGTCGAGATTGACCAATGAATTGTAATAAAAAAAATTAATGGACAACTTGGTGTTTGGCCGAGTCCTGCCAATCATAAATAGTTGACTTGATTCATGGAATCAATTTAGTTTTAAGATAACCAGCTGATTCTTCCCTATATGTTTGTCATAATTCAGTTCTCTCTTAACAATATAAAACTTCCACGACAACCAAACAAAAATAGTTCTGTAACAAAGTCAGAACCATGGAAACCCTAATATGTACAGCTACCCCTCCACAGGGCACAGCACAGCATCTTGATGGAAGTCAAATTTTGGATTGCTGACAGATAAGGTAAGTATCTGGTTTGGAGGAATACGTTTTTTTTTTTTTTTTTGGACAAGTGAAGTTTTTAACAACGGATCAATACAACAACAATAACAACTAAGCATATCAAGCTCATCACATCATACAGGAAATGATCAGTCTAACCGCCATATGAAGATTACCTAATCACTTTTGGCTTCTGATTTTGACAGTGTGTAATTTGCAGGTACGAGGTTAATTCCTGAGGTATAGGAACCCTAGCTTAGCTAATTGGTTTTTGTTGTGTAAAGCTGTTGTTATTAGTATTATAGTACCATCTAATTACTTATTAAAAGACTGATAATGTGATTAAATAATGGTAATGGTACCATATATAGCTGCTGCATTTGTCTCATCTCATGTTCTAACTCCTGTAAGTCGTCGTTGAAGATGCCCTAATGAGTTAGTTAATGTTATAAAATATGAACTAATAGATGTTCTTATTTTTCTATGCGTATTGGTTTGTACCACATCACGTAGAATCTTTCTAAGAAACACATGATTCACGGCTAATTACTTGAATAAAAGTTCCATCATTATCGTTAGCATAATCAACACTGTCATGATTCCGTTATAATGATGTAATCCTAATTTCAAAACGAATAGCTACGAACAAAAACAAGGAACGGACAAACCTAAAAACGTTGTTTTTTTATCTTCCTGTAAATATAAAATATAAGCGATGAGGTATAAAACGATAGTCCAGATTAATTAATCCCAATCATATGATCAAGCTTTTAAAAAAGGAACATATCATGAAATTATCAATGCATCTGGCCATAAATTTACAGTTAAATTGCTTCCTTTTTGGGTCATTTTAATTTAACTCAACCCATTTTAAAGACAAGGAGAAGAAGACAATCTACTTAAAGCAGAAGTACGTAGCTTATATATAGCGTGAGGATATGCAGGTAAAAGAGTCCAACATCAGTGAAAGAAGAAATCTTTTATGAGGTTGAGTTACTTCTCATATTGCAAATTTATTTTATGATAGAATCCTAATTTTCTTCATAGTAACAGAGTAGGTTAACCCATGTTGCATTAATATTAATTTGAAATCTAGAATTGCAGGCTCTGCTGATATTTACTTTTGGCGACTTTGGAAAAAATAAAAATATGAAGCAGTTTTATTGGAGCAGATGGCGTCTTTGGATGAAGTCAGTATTCGACGGATATTGGTATTGGAATTACAAAAGAAAAGCATGAATCATTACGACACTTTGATT